TGCTGCAATCCATGTTACCACCAATTGACAACCAGCGATGGCCCCGGTTCCATGGTAAGGCCACTGCCGTCACAAGAATCTATAACCATACTGGACTAGTGTCTTCCATCTGTCGTCTCTTAATCGTGTCAGAGCGAGCGGCACCGTCCGAGGTCCCTACTTCAAGAACAGACCAGAGCTGGTGTCGGATGAGCCAAAGAAACGCATCAAAATTTTACTGGTACCGGAGCAGCAATGTACATGTCCCGTCATCTACGGTTACACTGTCCGAAGTTTGGGACGGTGTGGATCAGGAGGAAGTGGTAATCGTCACACAATGCATCTTGAGGGACTGTCAAAGCTGGGTAAAGGCTATGAATAGTATTATCCCACAGCTCGATATGCCACACCTCATAAACGTAGGGCCGAGGGGGATACTCCTGCAGCCCGGTCGAACCAAAGCCGAATGCACCCATCAACATGCATACCTATCTACGGAGTACTTCGTACATGATGTGTACACTCCTTGAGAGGTTAACCATCAACATCGACCGGACCGGTATGCTGTATGACGATGGATACCCACCGTAAGCGCAGGGACGCAAGGAGTGTTTGTGGCTCAATGGCTCCTGTGCTGCAGTCGCTGTCGAAAAAAGGAACAGAGATTGATTTGATTGTTCAGAGTATGAGCGGAGCCTGCCGAGGTAACAGTGGCTATGTACGAAGTCGGAGTGTCGAATCCTTGGGACGTATCAAGTCTCATCTGGAGTATGATATCTGGCGGTCTCAAGTACTTGCATACTATGGGTATGGTTCGTTCTTTTCCGAGCTGTCGAATGTTCTCATTGTTGTCGGCTAGGTGATGCACTTGAATGGAGTCTTCCTTTCGGAACAAGGTGCCTCGTTTGATTAAAATACTGCGGGGTTTTTGATGGTCCCGACCTGAAATTTAACAGCTCCGAGGCATGTCACGATGTTCCGCCAAGCGATTGACAGCCGCAAATTTCGGACAGTGCTTTCTTGAGACTTGGGCTGGGATACTACTAAGTAGTGTAAGAGCACATCTCTCATCCCATCCCGGATACCATATTATCCGCAGGTGATGCAAAGTTTAAACGACGGGCGTTACTAGTAAAACCGCAAACACGGTTTTGCAATGCCTAAAAAAAAGAAAAGAAAAAAAAAAAACGGATAAAACCCCAAAGATAAAGGCAAAAGCAAGAAAGTTGAAGACTGGAAGAAAGCGTATGGAAAAGCGCCCCTGTCAACAAGCAGAGAGTTTAAGTGCCATTTTAGATGACAAACAGCACAGCTACTACAGACATCAACAGGAAGACAGAAGGGGATGAATAAATGGATAAGATTAACGATATCTTTCTGCTTACTTTTCTCCTCCCCTACCGCCGCCTCCTCTTCCTTTTCTTCTTCTTGTCGGTGGTAGCACCACTTCCCCTGGGACATCTCTGTTATTTTGAACCCGCGTTGCAGGACCTTGCAGAATCAGGGTCCTCCATCCATTGGTGACCTTTAACCTCACGAGCACGAAGCGCAAGGCCCAAGTACTCCGAAGCTTCCTGGTCGCAGTATCTTCTTGTACTGTCCCATATTACGGAATATGGTTGGTACTTGGGAGCAACGGTGAGTTAGTGGCAATACATCAAGTAAGTTACCAGCCATATTGGCAAGGGTTTGAAGTGACTCGCAGACGTGGGCCGTGTGTGGAGTGGCTTTTCGGCTCGCCGCGTTCCCTGGAGGCAGATTGATGGATGATATGGATGATACCTCGATGGCACTAGTTTGCACGAAGTCACGACACGACTCTTGAAAATCTACTAGTGTAGCGTACTTTGTGCAGAGTACACTCCGAAGTACTTACTCTCCTTCGCTCAGAAGCTGGGGTCTTTGAGGGGTCGTCCCTTCCACAACCCCCAGGTGCGTTTAATTATCCCATTCGTCTCTCCAAATGAGTCTCCTCGAGGGCTCGCCTTCTCTTATTAGGGTTTGAAATTTGGAGTCTACACAAGCCCCAATTTCCAGGTTCCAAGAACAACGGGTCGTCTGATAAGAACATCCTGGACACTGCATGGAGCATTTCCTGAACGGTTCAGTATTTGGCCTAGTTTCTCCCCAGCTGCCTCCTTAATTCTAGTCACCATGGCCTGGTCTCCCTCTGGTGGACACCTTTTAATATGAGAATGATGTTGCGATCGATCACACTTCCAGATCCCCACAAACTCACAATATATCTAGTATGCTTGAGTGATTTGAAGCTTGCCTGTTTGTCATGTTGTGCTACCCCTATCTGCAGCGTGCGCTTTCTGTCAATTAAAAGATATTGGGAATGTAGGAAGCGGGTTCCATCCGGATCAAGGCTGAGCAACCCGTTCCTTCTATTGATGCTGCTGCTGCATATCTCCCAAACACCAGGAGCCACTCACGAATGGACTGCCCTGGCGCCTCGTCTACAAGTTTAACTTTGCCTTTGCCATGGGTTGAAATTTCCCAAGTCCTGCGTATAATTGTACTTTCTCCTTCAACCGCTGCCGTGTGGCGGAAGTCAGAAGTGACCATGACCTTGCCCTTGGGTTATCGACACCCCTCTCCAGACCGGCAGCAACCTTCTCCTGACACTTGGGTAATGCCTGGTGGGAAGGACCCTTATTTCATGCCTGTGGCCCTGGACGGAGGAGCGGTACCATACCGAAGACTTATTGTCTCTGCTTCAGATCATCACTTCCTGCAGAATACGTGCACCCCAAGTGCTCTAACTTGTACATGGCTAGAACATCAATGTATTCTACGGAGTACACATGCTCTCCAATTAATCGATACTGTCCAATTTGATACTTCACCCGTCTCTTTCAGTCGCCCAGCACAGCATGCGGCGGGCTATAGTGACAATACATCAATGGTGTGGCCCTTCTTGACACTCGCAGACACATGCAGCGAGACAATCCCGCCACCCTTGTCAGTATGGGTGTCGAGGCAACTCTCCGTCCTATTGTCCCCTTCTCTCTCCATTATGTCTATTTTTCACAATAAGAACAAGGCATTGTTTTATTTCCATCATCGATGGCATGCTACACAGATTGCAGTAATCCTTGCTGTTTCGTCTACTTCTTGGTCTTGTACCTGTGTAGTTTGTACAATCTCCCTCCTCCCCGGCTGCCGTTTTTTGACGGGCACCTTCCTCGATCCACTAATATAAAGAATCCTAGCGTGAGACTACTGCACACTCCGGGCGCTCCAACAAGCCCCAAACCAAGGGCCAGACAGACAAGCGCGCACATTGATACTTCGTACTTTGATACACCGGAATGGCACACACCACACCACATCACACACCACCCACCACGCTACGACTAACATTACAAGTACGACCACCACAACCATTCTGCATTTTCTGGCACCCCCCCTGCACCAGATCCATTGATCTTTGGTACACTCCCCATACAGCTTGTTCAAGTTGCCTGCTTCGTACTCTCCGTTCTTGGACATGATGTACACTAGCCTTGGGACCTTCCACCCCAGTGTCTTCCTCGAATCTCAGCTCCATGCTCTGTCGATCTTCTTCCTCTCAAGTGCTGTCTTGGACCTGATCCCTTGTAATCTCAACTTACACCGGGAGCAACCTACTCTTGCATCAACCTAGGCCCCTTACCTCAAATCCTCAACACCCTGCCAATACCACTACCATACTCACTGCACCCCTCTTGCCTCTTGGTCCCTTGTCCTATTGATCGAACACGGTCATTCTCCGTCCTGCATGGCTGTACGTATGAAGTAGTCAACGGAGCAAGCGCTCAAATATGCACATGCAACCTGCTTGTTGTCACCGTCCCTGCGCAGCAAGCCCAAGCTCAAGGTCTCCCCCTCCCCCGAAAACTCTGGCTAGAATCTGAGAGGGACCGTTGTGGCATACGAAGCAGGTTCGTTACCCTTTGGCACCCGCCCCAGAAGCTAACCAGGGTCTCCCTGGAGCCTACCCCCCTCATCCCATCCCCCTGCCGCTTTTCCAGAGTAACTTGTCCCAAACCATACTACCCCGTCCTTTACCTGCCAATTGCCCACACCCCTTGACGAGCAGAAAGAGCTGCACAAAACTCGACCATCAGCCACCCCGTCCCCATCCAAAGTTTCTTTAAAAGCCTCCCATCTGACAGCTCTGTTGATAACTTCGACGTCCTCCCATCGCACAACGCCAGGACAAGGCTCCGCCAAATTTGCTGTTTGCCCTTCCCCCCTCTCAGAGCTGAGGGAGACCCAATTCTAGAGCTCAGTGCGCCAAGAGCCCCGTTAGGTCACTACGCCTCGATATCTCCGAGTGCCCTGAGCCCTGGTGGTCGTTTCTGCAGTCATCCGGTGCCATCGACAACTAACGATCATTCTCGGATCCGGTGTTACTGATCCCACAAGGTTCGGGGTTCGACCTGCCCTAGTCAGTATTGCACGGTGCCAAATCTTGGCCAACTCTCCGGTCCACTCGCCTATCACCGCCGATTTATAGGAATTTGTGCCTCCCCCAGCGAGACTCCCAACACTAGTTTCTAGCTCGAGCGGCACTGTTAACCACCTCCTTCACTCGGTTTTCGCTTTTGTGCGCGAGCTATCGCGGCTAGGCGTGCTGGGGAATTCGAAACGATATCTTCGTTCTTTCGGCCAACCCTTTCCCTATTGTTGCTTGTTCTATCCACCCAAACAGCTGCTCTGCCATCCCTTCGCTTCCTTCAGGCTTCCGACCACCACATTCGCGGGACGGTATTGGTTGGAATTCAGGAGATTCGTAACTCGGCCCTGCGTGCCGACCGTAAAGTCTTCGAACTCTTTTCCCGGACGCAGCGCCACTTCATGCTGGCTTGACGTCGACCAGATAGCGGACGGGTTTGAGTTGTCCCTCCAGCGGGCAACCTGCTCCCTGATTCAAGTGCCGGAGGTCGGGGCTGTCGTCTCGGTGAACGACGTTTAGACGCCGCTCGACCCAGTCACTCCCAAGACACTCGCCAGGGCGAACCAACCCATCCATGCCAGGAATCAGCCCAGCCGCATCTCAATCCTTCCCTCCTCTCGGCAAACGCCGAGGTATATCGGACCTGGCGAGCTTTTCATTAGACCTGACCTGGGCTGATAAAAGAGCAGAGTCCGTGGCTGCTGCTCGGTCAAGGGCCTACCCCTCTCCGCCCATGTCAGGATCTCCTCCACTCCCACCCAAATCGAGATCAGAGGCAGGTGATCGGAGTCAAATACATGGGCCCTACCCAGCGCCGCCGCAGCAACCTCAGCATCCCCAAGATGTTTATCGTGGGCAGCCTCCTCATCAGAGCCGTACCGAAGACATCAGGGCCCAACTCCCACCAGCATTACCGCCTCCACCGCCGCCTTCAATCCGATCCTATCCCCCTCCAGAGACTTCGGACAGAATGGGCTACTATCATCCCCTCGAAGGCCCAGTGCCTAGGAGGTTATCTTATCCCCCTCCAGGACCCTCCCAAATACTACAACAGCAACCCCTATACGCAACCGCACCTCCGGTAACCGGCGCACCACCTGCTTACAATCCGCCGACCCAGCCCCCTGCGCCGGTCGCGGCGGCCTTTGAGCCTCCTAGACCCGCCAGGAAAGCCAAGGGCCATGTCGCGTCCGCATGTGTTCCCTGTAAAAAGGCGCATCTTAGGTGCGTGTCCACTATCTAACCAAAACTTGCGGAGTATCATATGTTCAGGGTATATACTAACACGGAACAGATGTGACGGTACGTGTTTTTCGCCTCTTGTGATTTTTTCAAGTTTGGTCGTGCGACACCGAAGCGGACGAGCATGGTCGACGATACACCAAACACACGCTACCGTTTTATGAAGAGGAGAGCGCGATATGTTGTTGGAGCTATTCCCCATTTCTGTCGGCCAGCATGTGTCCCGCTCTCGCTCGGAGATTTGGCATCGTGGACGACTGTTTGAGGAGCGACATTGGATGATGCAGACCGCATTATGAAGCCCAAATTCTGCATTGGCCAGCTTTTTTTGTGGCAAGGACACACCAAGAGTTGGAGCAAGTGTTCCCTTGAAGCGCAGGGGCTGGAAATTCTTCGTTAAGTTGAAATCTTGAAAGTAAGACCGCGATGACTGACATTGTTTTCTCTTGTCCTCCCTGTTTAGCACAGCGTCCATGCTCTCGATGTATGATGAATGGCAAGGAAGAGTCTTGCATCGATGTTCAACATAAGAAACGAGGACGACCCCGGTTACGCGATGATAGAGATCCCCGATTCGACGGCTCAAGGTTTACCTCGGGGCAGGATGCTGGGTTAAGGAGACCGTTGGGTGCGTACCCAGGCGGCCCCATTCTATCAGGGTACGAGGCCACTCTCCGTCGTAATAGTTCATCGCACCGGGTTCTAAAATCTCAACCAAGCGAGTCGACGGGTCCCAGGTTTATCGAGCATGCACTTCCTAGTGATGCCAACGTCTACCCAGCGCCGCCTTTGTCCATCGCAACCCGACCGCCCGAGCCCGTAGCCTACCTGACCACGGAACTGGAACTAGTTAAGGCTTCAACGACGTTCGCGGAGTCTGTCGGTATATCGTCGCTGGCAGGGCGGTCTTTGTTTGACGTCGTGGTACCAGCGGACAGGGATCGTATCGGAAGCTACAAGAGGCAACTCCAGGATGATCGCTCACGCCAAGAACCGCGATATCTTCCGCCAATATTCAATAAACAGGAAAGCGAGAGGGTGATCCAAACCCTTGGCTTTGGTCCGGAAGATGTGTCAAGGATCCCGCTGGACCGACAAGGACATCTTGTGTTCCAGGCAATGGATGGACAACAAAGACCGCAGTCGTTCCAATTTGGCCTTGTAAAGGTCGAGTCCATCTATGTGGTGGTTTTACGGCTGAGCGTCGTACCAAGATACCCCTACCCCTCGCCTTCTCCACATTCCAGAGATTCAGCGGTAGCCTCGTATCCTTACCAGGCGCAAGCCCCGCCTCACCACCAGCTCCAGCAGCCGTATATGCAGCATACTCCGGTCTCGGCAACCTTCGATCCAAACCGACCCCGGTTCGACCAAGGTCCTCCAGCGGGTCGCCCAGTCACGGCACCACCGGGCACCCAATTGTTGTCCGGCCCTAGTCCCGGGGTTAGTCCCGGAGTACCCGCGTACTCTCCGTCGCCTAGCCGACCTGAATATGCCGTTGGGCACTCGTCGTATCAGATTCCTCGGAGCGAATTAGCGAGCGCGAGCCGAACACCACAGGCGACATCGTTTCAACTCCCTCCGATCCGCGCGCATCCGCAGCCTGGAACGATGACCATGGGCGAATCTGCTTCAACCCGGGATGAGAGATCGGGCCGTGTTGATATCGGAGGGTTGATTGACAGGCCGGACCACGCCCAGAGACGCTGAAAACACATCCGCTCAGACCGAAACTTAAGTGCAAGTGCTAGGGCAATCTAGTCTCAGATGTCCTAGCAGTGCAGCAGGGAAACCGACAGCACGATGCTCTATGCGTACTAGACGGTTGATGAATCTTTTTGGGGAACATTGGCGGTTCGAGCCATCCGGACTACTTTCCTGCGTCGACCCTTTGGTCACCAAGTCCTGGCGGTGTACCTCTCTCTCTCTCTCTTCTCCCCCGAGCAACTTCGATCGAATTCATCTCACATCGCAAGTTGCCCTTATTCACCACTTATTCTTATTCTTTTTTTCCTTCACTTCTATTATTCGCTTCGTTTTCTTCCTGTTCTTTCATCTATTTTCTGAACAACTTAGCATTTAACTTCCCTTCTTTTTCTTTTAAGTATAGTGGTATTGATTTCCCACTGAGGAAGTTGGGCAGTTAGCCTGACATGCCCATACCTGTACCTTTCTTCTTTTCTCTTCCACTCTTGCTTCATTTATTTTCCTCATTCTCTTCTTCTTGGCTTCTTTCTTGTTGGGTTTTTTGTGTTACGGATGTTTGCTTCCCGTTTTAGGAGGGCAGGTCTTGAATTGGAATGGCCGGAGTCGGCTTGTGTGCGCTTGTTTTCGAGGACTTGGACAGGGGATATAAGGGTCGAAAATCGAAGTCCTGTAGGATATGGATTGCGAAGTTAAGCTGATGTGCTGATGTGCTGACGGCCGTTATTTCATGAATTGGGCGGTGTTTAAGACCGTGGATAACAACTGATTTGGGGACAAAAAAGGTTTCAAACAAAGCGGGTTTTTAATTGATTTTCAGCTTGAGGAGGTATGATACCATGGTGAGAACCCTCGATAGGGTTTGTGTATGAGAGACTTGAGGAGATCCAAGAACGGCGTTGCATATTGTCTTCCAGATTTTTTGGGGGGATTTTCTTTTTATTCTTTCGGAAGGGGGTTACCGCCTCCTTTGGGTGATGTGGTGAAAGAAAACAACGATGTGCAAACGAAACCCTCGAGCTATCGGGGCGACGAGGAATTTCAAGTCCATTCAGCCCCGAGGCAGGTGGTCAAGTCAACATTCAAGTATTGGCCCGAGATGCGCACAAACCAAGTGTTGCGATGGCAGCGCCATGTGGCAGAAACTTCCCTCGCCCCGTGCTGCGTGCCTAGGGCAAAGATTGATTTACGCCTGCAGCCACGAGTAGCGTCTTAGAGCGGATCCGACTACTCGCGAGTCTGCGCGGATCAAAATAGCACCTTCTTTGCCCATCAACTAAGAGCGTCGCAGGCGGGGAAGTCAGCGGCTCTATACAATAGCATCCTCGCTTTGTATAGACTGGGACATGCAAGCTAAGGCGCCATCCTCAGCCGGGGGATGGAATAGAGCAAGCGGGTTGCCAATGGCAAGAGTGCGCCAGCCTAAGTCATCATGGAATATCAAACATTGGGCGCAGTCTTGTGGAGGAGGGAAAGATCGCATCTATAGTCCAAGAAACGGGTTGGAATGCCTTCGTAGTCTCGTGGTTCTTGCGAGAAGCCCGGGAGATGGGTTGCTTTAGTAGGTGGAAGAGGGAGACATTGGCTACATAGGATTAGGGTTCCAGGGTTACGCTCTTGGTGAGTTGGGGGGATCCGGGCCCTTCAGCCCGGAGCATCTTCCGAGGGCACACTCCGCTCCGTTTGGCAAGTGACTTTGCCCGAAAGAGGAACGGGCAAAGAGGGAGAAAGAAGAGGGGGGACGTGTTAGTACAAGTGCAAACAAACGCAAGGGGGAGCGGCTCGAGGGTTATACACGCCATGTCACTGATTTTAAGGGATCCCCCGGTAATAGAGCCATTTTGCTTTGATGAGTATCATGTTCTGTCTGCCTAGCTAAGACCGAGACAGCTAATATTTGAGTTGATGGACAGGGCCGATCCTATTGAGGTTTGTAACATTTCACATGGGCATCATCGATGTAATGTCGGCCTTACTCGTTCGAGCGTTTACTCTGGATATCTGCAACGCAGCGGACGTGAAGTGGGCTTTTGTTTTGTTTTCTACGGGTGCTCTTCTTTTCCTCCTTTCCCTCTCTTTCTTTCTTCTCCCGCCCTATGTTTCCCTCCTTTATTCCCTTTTTTTCCTCGTGTTTCTTCTCTTTTTTTTTTTTTTTTTTTTTTTTTTTTTTTCCTTCTGTTTATCAACAGCCTGAGAGAGAACTCCCTCGCGCTAACCGCATTCATCGTGCTCTCGTTTCAACATTTGGAATAAATATTTGTCGAGGACTATAATCTAACCTTCTATAATGGTGATCCTCTTTCGTGAATCAACAATGGGGAGATTGCGTTTCGAAACCGTTGATTTTAGAGTTTGTCTCGCGGAGCCAGTGGGGAAGCGTTGATGGGAAATTCTCCGACTCGGGTAATTTTCCCGCCCTTGTTTATTTTCTTTACAAGTATTTTTTTTTTTTTTTCAGGGGGCGGAGATGCTGATTCGCTCGAGTGGGAAAGATCATCCAAATGCAAATCCATGCTCTGGCTCGAGCTATCGTCGGTGTTAATCAACCTGCTGTTGTTACCTGAGCAATACTCGGCTGTTCTATATACCGAGAAATGGAAGCATAAAAGAACACACAGCATTTAATACCTCGTGGTAATAATACGACCATTTCTCGCAGCGAAGTTGTACCAGGAATAGATACTTCGCGTGCACCGTAGAGGTCCGATATCATTCTGAGGCCCAAACAAACAAGTTCATCTCATATACATAGAGCCAATTACTGTATCACTTATACTACAGACGCTTCCAGCCCCAGTGATGAGCAAGAGCGAAGATAAGTCACGGAAGACCTCACCCCAGTGCAGGGATCTTGTCATTGAGCAACTCCCGCCACGATAGCTCGTGTTCACACTACGAGCAAGCAAGTCGGAAACTGTCTATTTGCAGTCTTGGTCTGGAAACAGGGCCCATCCTCTTCAACGCGACATACATTGTTATTTCGTTATTACTATACACTTGTCTACTGCTGTCAAGAGCATCGCCGTCACAGCCCTGCTCCTCTAATGCCGATCCCTGTGCTGCCCAGCTTATTTGCCATCATCCCAATCGGGATTCTAAACAGGGGAAAAAAGTTAGTAAGTTGCGAATCCGATTCAACTGAAATTTAAACCTACCTTCTTCAAAATGACTAGACCCTCGAGCGTGTTATTGAGAGTAATATATTCCTCATCCTCAAGCTCCGCCCTCTCACCATAACCAAGGACGACAGGCGTGCTCTGCGTCTGCCATCCAGTAATGGTCTTGGGCCGACCAGCCTGGCCCACAACATCGACGGCCTGACCCACCCGGACATTCACCTTCAACGGCTTCAGGTCCTCGTCGAGCGTGACGAGGAAGCGGGGGTGCATAGCCGTGACGATAAAGTAGAGCAGGTAGTGAGAGTCGAGGGTGATGAACTTGGACGCGTCGATCATGGCGACGAGGACGGCTAGGAGACCCGCCGTCGCAACCCGGGAAAGGATCTGCCTGTCGGTGTGGAAGGGGTTGACGGAGAGCGTGCCCTTGCCCATGTGCAGGAGGCCCTGTGCGATGCGGACCATGAAGAGAGCTTCTTGATCCCGCGCGTAGAAGCCCGCAAGCTGCCGGAGGAGCTGCGCCAATCTGGCGTTGTTGGTACCCGCTCCGAGAAGACCCATCGCGAAGATGGCGTTGACCGCCACGTCCCTGTCGTTGTCGTGGCTGTATCTTGATAGCGTGTCGTAAACCTTCATCTGGGGGTTGCTGGGGCTGACCAATCCCATAGCCAGGGGAACAGCCCGTCGGATGTTGGGAGCACCGTAGTGCATGAGGTGGCCAAACTGCCTGAGCACCATCTCCTGTCCGACATCCTCACCCATGGCGACCAATGCGATACCGAGGACGGCATACGCTTGGAGAAGCTCCTCGCCCTTGCGGTCCTCGGATTCCTTCATTTCCTCGTTGCAGATGTGCAAGAGCTCCTGGATCTTAAGGACCGCGCCAGTACCCGCCCACGCACAGATCTCCGCCATCACTGCCGTCGGTCGCGCGACAGGGTGGTCGACAGCCTTGAGTGTCTCAAGAATGACGTCGACTTCCTCCTGCCGTCCAAAGAACAGTAGGCCGAGTCCGAGAGCGAGGAAGCGCGACCATTTGTCGTTGAGCTGGTCCTTGCGATCGTCGTCGAGGAGCGTGGTAATAATGGCTTCTGTCACATCGGGGTGGGACGATCCCACGAAGACCAGACCGCACGCGAGCGCAGCCATAGCCGATATTTGCATAGATTGAGAATCCTGGATAATAGGGAGGAGGAGTTCGAGCACATCCTCCTTGTTAGATCCGGCGTAGGAAAGGCCAAGACCCATAATACAAGCCGTGCGCATAATGGGGTCCTTGTGGTTCAGCTTCTCTGAATCACCAAGGAGCGCGAACGCAGGCTCCGAATCTATCCGGACACCCGAGTTCATGATGCCGATCGCGAGCATGGCTCCAGCCGCAATCTCCGGTTCGGGCGCATAGGTGTACTTGTCGATCCGGTCAAGCCCGTTCTCGATATCCCACAAGAGTAGCATACCCATCGACGCAACTGTGGAGACCTGCCCATCACCCTTCGTCTTCCAGACCCAGCTCTCCTTGTCCTCGTCCACCAACATCATCTTGTCCTTTCCAAAGCCCGCATTCGCAAAGGCGTTAACGAATGCCGCCGCAAGATTGTGCCTGACGGAGTCGAGGTTAGTCATACCCGCAACTCGACTGCTCTCCAGGTGGCTCTTGTAGATATCCTCCGTCGTTTTCGGCTCGAGAATGTTGAGTTCCTTGCCAAGAGCCTTGAAATGCTCAGACAATTTGATATTAGAAGAGCACTCCAACACATCCTGCTCCTCAGCAGTGTTGGCGTCAATATCCAAGGCTATCCTTTGGCGACCAATCATGAAGGCAAGCTGCTTCTCCACGGCCGGATCCTTGCATCGGCTGAACCCTTCCTTGATAAGCTCGACATCGTTGAGGCGGATAGCAAGAGCCATGGCCTGCGTGAACTGGTTGTATTGCGTATAGATATCATGCGCCGTCTTCAAGAACAGCTCGTTTTCGGGGTAAGGCAGCAGGTTGACCATGCTGACCATGTAGAGGCATACCCTGGGATACGTATCCTTGTCAAGGAATTTGGGGATCCTGTCGATGATTTCGAGCTCGCTCATAAGATCGACGGCATCGGCCTCGGCGTTACTCTTAAGGAAAAGCGGCACTAGGAGAAGTGCAAGCTCAACAAGGTCATCGGTATCCTCTTCGCTGGCGAATCGCTTGCCGTAAACCTCACCGATCTCGAGAGCCAGGTGTCTCACGTATTCGTGGCCCCAGGAGCCAATGTCGGAAGTAGGTGCGAGAAGGCGGTACTTGAGGGTATCTTGCCTATCTTCATCGGAAAAGGTCATGCCAATTACTGAGAGGACATCCGCCAACGACGTCTTATCTTCGCCTTGTGGCCACTCATCGTAAAGCTTGGTGAGAGTTTCGTAATGGGGGCGGAGGAACTTGAGGGGCTTGGGGACGGCGGTCATGGAGGAAGTAGAGGTCTTGATGGTTGTCTTCATAGTTTCGAGGGCGGTCTTGTAGAGGGACGTATCGGGCTCCTAAACGAGCTGTTGTTAGGCAAAGCGACGTTTCAAGCAGATTGTGAAGAAGAAAAAAGAGAAAAAAAGAGTTCCTTACCGTCAGTCGCTCAACAATCATCTCCAAATCGCTCTTTAATTGTTGATCCTCCTCGCTTAGCTCCTCACCAGCTGCGATTCTAGAGTTAGGATGACATTGCGCCCAGCAAAACATCAGGTAAACAGCCAGCAAGGGACATACCATCGGGCTTTTCCTCCTCCTTCTTGCCGTTGATGACAGGCTTATCGTCCTTAGGGCCGTCGGTGGCCTTACCCTTGCCCTTGTCCTCAGGCGTCGTCATGTCGATGTCTTGCGCCATGTTGACAGGAGGGAGTGGAGCGGATTTGGCTGATAGTGTGGGATATGCGGAACTACTTCTCGAGGAATATAAAATACGGTCAATGGAAAGCCGGGCTTCGGAAATCAGTCAGTTGTAATGTCGTATCTGCGTGGGTGTTGTTCTCTCCTACTTGGAAGGGAGGAGAGGCGATAAAATAGGTATGGAGGGTTGTCAGTGGGAAGATGCAGAGCTGTTTCTGCTCTCTTGTTTGCAAGCTAGCAGCTCCCATGGTGACGCGAGGCTTTGCCGCCTGGAAACCTTCGCCTCGCTGCGCTTAGCTCAGCAAACAAGTCACGTGAAGCCGGCCCGTGCGAGACAAGGTTTGCCGGGTGTTCGGATTTTCCCTTTTTCCAACTCTTATCTTATCGGAATCCTGGCAGCTTTTATCTTATCGAATCTTTTCTTTGGAGGGGCACAAATTTCAACCCCACGTCGTGGAACGAGGACAAAGAGGTACAGCACAGCACATAGATCAGACCGGACTCCAAGATCTGCAACATTCGCAAACAATGAAGCTCGACACGAGGGCCATGCGCCACCTCGCTTCAGAGGATTGGCGAGTTTTAACAGCCGTGTGTCTCTCCACTTGAAAATGAGCCCGCTCGCCAAAGAACCGCTTACACTAACATAGTTGTTCCCTCAGGTCGAAATGGGCAGCAAAAACCATGAAATTGTCCCTACGCCCCTGATTGAGAGGATCGCGCGGTTACGTGGTGGTGCGAGCGGAGTTCACAAGAGCATATCGGCCCTAGCGAAGGTCGGTCTCATTGCGCGCGTGAAAGAGGCGAAGTACGATGGCTACAGGCTCACCTACGGCGGCATGGACTACCTAGCCCTTCACACCTACTCAGCACGAAAGGAGATCTACAGTGTTGGAAACCGGATAGGAGTGGGAAAAGAGAGTGACATCATGGTCGTGGCCGACGATAAGGGTGTTCAGAGGGTGTTGAAGATTCACAGGCTCGGAAGGATATCGTTCCGCACTGTGAAGTCGAATCGAGATTACCTTAAGAACAGATCATCCGGCTCGTGGATGTATCTGTCACGGTTAGCAGCGATGAAGGAGTTTTCCTTCATGAAAGCGCTCCAAAACGAGGGTTTCCCGGTCCCTGAACCCCTGGGGCAGTCCCGACACACCGTCCTCATGTCGCTCATCGACGCTTTCCCTCTCCGGCAAATCTCATCAGTACCAGACCCGGCCAGCTTGTACGCCGACCTAATAGCCCTTCTCCTCAGGCTCGCCAAACACGGTTTAATCCACGGTGATTTCAACGAGTTCAACCTGTTGATTAAGGAGGTGAAGACCACAAGCAAAAACGAGGAGACGAACGAAGTTGAAGAATCGGTCGAACTTATTCCCATCCTCATCGATTTTCCTCAAATGGTGTCCATGGAGCACCGCAATGCGGAAATGTACTTTGACCGAGACGTCGCCTGCGTGAAGCGCTTCTTTGAGAGGCGCTTCCACTTTGTCAGCACAACGCCCGGCCCATTTTTCAAGGATGCGAAGAAGCTAGTGGGCAAGGATGGTGCCACGCGGCTGGACGCCACGGCGGAAGCGTCGGGCTTTACCAAGAAGATGGCTAAGGATCTGGAGGCCGCCATTCGGGAACAAATAGAGGCACGCGGTGATGAGGGAGAAGGATCTGACGAGGGCGACTACGAGGAGAGTGAGGACGACGAGGAAGGCGAGGAGGGAGAGGAGGGGCCGGTGATAATAGGTGGTGCGGAAGATGCGCAAGAGGAACCTTTAGTGGAGGGCACGGCAAAATTGAAGATAGAAGAAGGAAAATAAGCTAAAACATATCTATGAATGGTCAACGAAACATAACGCAGGCTACACTAGCGCGACAAGAGATCTGCCCTGTCATTATGATAATGTCCTTCCTCAGTGCATATCACTGAGTAAGTACCCTCAGGAAAGGCTCTTTTACCTTCTCTACCCTCATCCAACCTCCTTTCTCAAGTTCGACGATGGTCCCATCAATGCACACCTTCCTCCACCGCGCATCCTCCTCCGCAACCCTAACCTCCAGCGAACCAATCTCCTCGTATCCAACTTCCTCCATCTTAACGTGCTGGCCACCAGCATATGCAGCTCCCATAATCTCCATCGTCTTCTCCCCTCCGACAGGGCCAAAATAGACAAGTCTAAGCGCGGGATCAAGAGGCCGTGTCGCCGGCGAAATCTCAAAGGTCTTTTCCAGATTGGACACCTGGGCAACGAGCATGTAGCCGAACTTTTCAGGCGCATTCTTTAGTGGATGAAAATTATCCAGTTCTTCATCTGCTGGGGAGCGGACCAGGACGCTCGCGTCGTAGGCGTGGTTCTCTTGTAAAAGCTTCACGGCAACCATGCCGAAGCGCTTAGCGCCGTGTTTTCGGTATTCGGGTGTATCGCTCTCCCAGACGATGTTGGAATGGAATCCGTAGCTGGCAACCACGGCACCTAGTAGAGAGTCGATTTTGTCGCCTTCGTCGGCTGAATGTTCTATTTCGTCTGATTGGCCTGCATGGCGTACGAGCTTCGAGCCTGGGGAAAAAGAGGCGCGGAATGTAGGTAGTGGGGATGGTGTGCCCTTCCAGAGGGTTCTCAGCCCCAAAACTAATGGGGTTGGTGAGGCTGGGAGATAGAAGGGTTTATGGATGGAATGAAAGAGGGCGTTTCCTGTCCCAAACGGTAGAATGGAAATGATGGGTGGTGAAGGGCTTGGAACCTTGGTGTCCAAGCCGTTGAGGATATCGACGACGCCGCCGTCACCACTGAGAAGAAGGACAGTTTGGGGACGGCTTGCCTCGGGAGTCCCCAAGCCCAGCTTCGAGCGTGAGAACTCACTAATGCTGCTAGCACTTTCCGTGAATAACACGTCGTAGCCATTCCCAGACGTCGAGTTCGCACTCCCGCCTAGACTTTGGATAAGTTGCAGGAGGGGCTCCACGACAGATTCCCAGCACTTTGCGGCTCGTCCCGTCCCTGACTTCCCCGACACGATGACATGGACAGACGCCAACGAGGGTCTCAAATGATCCGGACATTCTCTAATAACGTAGGGCTCCAGCTCCGGTGTAAGAGAGTTTACGGCATGATGCGATAGCTCATACGGCTTGTCTGGGTGTGAGTCATCTTCGACAAGATGAGTGACGACGTAACCTTGATTGCTCGCAGTGCGGTCGACTACGAGGATTGCGTTTGATTCTGAGATGTCGGATGCCTTGCCAGGAGTGATTTTGGTATCTGCGGTAGCCATCTTAAAGACGACTTACAACTGTGCAGGGGAATGGTGCAGTGATCGAGGCTAGATAGGTTGATGTGAAAACTAAACGAGTGGGAAATTTTCCAAATGTCAAAACGCAGAACGGGACGTTAAGATGGACAAATCAAGCAACTTTATATTCTATATCCGTCGTGAAATCGTGTCTGTGTCGGAGGGGAAAGAACGAGTGAGCGGCATGTGGGATCGCGGAGATTCCGGATTATCCCTTTTGGCGGATGATGACGACTTCGGAACTCGAGATAATTAGTCAGTCTTACACTCCAACCACTTCAAATGCGGGCAACCGAGAATCGGGGCCAGCAGCCTGAGCCTGGTTGCGCTTGGTGCTACGTCTGGCAAGTCTGTTATACTTTTTTATTCCTTTTGTTCTGTCTCTCTGTCTATATGTAGCTTGAGGATTTTCGGTCACAGTATTGATAATATCACTGTCACACATCAACCTAGCAGACTCGAACGGTATTGCTCCCGGAAGAGAGAAAGTACAAGTTATATATTCGACTTCATCCTTATTTCATACAATCCTCTCAGTTCCCCCTTGCCCTCGTCATCGGTCCCCAGTTCTCCCGCGGGTTCAGTTGATATCGCACCAAGGCCTTGTCTTTCTGCTCTCTTCCAAGCCTCTCCAACTGCTCATCGAAAACCAAAGTCTTTCGAAGCTCCTCCTCCGAAGGCGGCGCACCATCATCATCATGCATCTCAACATCCTCCGACTTCCCATTCGCTTCCGGGACAGGCGGAGCGTTGTTTTCCGTCTCGGCCTCCGTACTAACTGGTTCGTTGCCCAATCCTAGAAGCCTCCACGCGGGGCTATTCTTCTTGATATTCTCCCTCTTCACCGGCGCCTTCTGTCGGATCCATTCCCTCATAATCCAGAATATCGAAGACCACGGCGCATTCGTCTTCATGCTACCAGGTTTACAGTGGCTCCTCGTGACCTCATAGCCAAGATGCCTGATCGCGCCACGGAACATATCATCGCTCGGTACCGTGGCCTGGAAGCTTCCGGCGAGGCGAGTAGGACTAAAGTAGAATGGGTGCGGATCTACCCTGGCGGCCTCTTTGTCCTTGGGGTCGACGTTATCTTCCGTTTCGGGAATCGGGATGTACTCCTCCAGAGCTGTTTGAAGCATTCCTCGGATCCTGGGTATCGTCCCGTAGACATTGCTATCGAGCGACGGGAGGTCGTCGAGGATGCGCTGGATGAAGCTTGGAGAGTGGAGATGGCCTCCGTACATGGGCCCTCCGAGATGCATCTTGGAGCCGCAGTGCTTGCAAAAGACGTCGCAAGTCGGGGCCTGGGCCATGCCGTGCTTGTAATAGGAGGTAGTTCCCTTCTTAGAGGGTTGGATCTTATTCTTCATCATGTATTGAGTCTCGAACGCCCCGCAGCCGTGGTCGCAGTTGTAAACAATCATGGTCTTGGATGCGAGGAATTTCAGCGCCGCTTGGGATTTTGTGACCCGGACAAATATGCGCACGTAGAAGTCCGCGGAGATGGAGAGTAGTGGCTCGATTGTCAAACCATAGCGGGCGGCCGAGGTTGCGACGGCATGAAGAACCAACCGCAGCCCAGCCTCATGAGAGAAGAAACTCTTGACCGGTATGCCTCCGTACAGAACGTATGACTTTTCACAGTAGCAGTGGCCAGCCCAAACCGCCGAATCTGTGCAGGTGACGCAGAGCATCCCTCCCTCCTTAACGCACTGCACGGCGGCATCGAGGAAAGGAGCCGCCGTTCCGTAGGGATCTAAGTCTATCACGTCGTACTTGTGCGCCTTGGACGGATTGCCATGCTTGTCCCTCTTCGAGAGGTCATCTGCTATGCGCCGATACATGTGTGCTATCGCATCGTCTTGAGACACCACAATCTTATCCTCTAGCTTGTTGTGTTGCACGTTGAGCTTGATGGACTTTACGGCTGATTCCGTCAAATCGTTCGCCGTGACGCTGCCCACGAACGGGAGCTCGTGTGAGTAGCGGAGTGCGCGCAGTCCCGAGGCAGATAGGGCATCGAGGATCGAGAATGAAGGGCGCTTCGCAGCATCTGGCTTCTGATCAAGCTTCCCATTATTCCCAGATTCCTGTAGAGCTTCGGTGGTCGGGTCGGCCTTGATCTGTGCGGCTGGCGAAATATCTGCTGCGGCCTGGGGGTTGGAGTCCTCGCCCGCCTTGGGCGCTTTGGCGTTCTTATCCTCACCGCCCGCTCCGTGCTCTTCACGCTTCCTCTTCTTGCTCGGCTTGATGCTCTCCTTGATCCTGGCTGCCCTCTCTTCCTTGAACGCCTTTATCGCGAGGACCGAAAGGTCTCGGTTAAACTGCTGGATGGGGTTGTAGAAGACCTGCTGGTGCTCGGCGGCGCTCTTCTTGTTGTCGGTTTTGGCTTGCACTGGTGCGAGTATGGATGCTAGTCCTTCGCGTATTATAGAGTACTCTTTGCCATCGTATACCACCTTGGCAGCCTCAGCAGCCTCTTCCGTATTTCCTGCCATTGGAGGTCTCGAAGTCGCAAATCGTCGCGAATAAGCGTGGAGGGGTAGTAGGGGGGTTCGAATGGGGAGGAAAGGAAGGCGAGTCTGTTGGTGAAAGGCGCGTTGGAAGGGCAGGTGAGGTCGAAAAGTCCCTCTACACCGTAAGAGTTTTGAGGAAAGTGCGGACATATCCTGCCCCGCAACAGATGCAGAGTTGTTGATATTAGTGGAAAGTCGAATCGCTCTTTTTTTTTTTTTCCTTTCGTATGGATTGAAGCTCTGAAATTTCGATCCAGGAAGCTATAAATTTTTGAGTGGTGTTTGCAGCTGGCACCAAGTGTTGTCTCGAAATGACACAGAACAAGCTCTTCAACGTCAACCCATCAAGGCAATCCACCAAGGGCGACTGCACTGATGAGCGTGGACGGAGACTACTGAGCTTTTCAGCACAAACGATGAGGCCGAGGGACTAGGATCTAGACAGCCGTGTATGTGCATTCTTTGCATTATTTTCGTTTGGCACACGTCAAGACGAGTGCCTGAGAAGCAGTCGTGTAAAGCCAGTGTCACAGAGACTTGGAGGACAATACCCACCTCATAAGAGAAGCACCTCCACTGGCCTACTTGTGACGGCAAAAAGTACCGTAATAGAGTTTGTGAGTCGTTGGGGGTACCACGGAATGACTGCATGCCAGATGACGCGCCTCGCTATGCATCTGGATTATCATCGGCGGCGAGGGTTTGCCACAGGACCCAGAGGGAGGAGATGAGATACTCAACGTCATACATATCAAGCTGCTGCGAACACTTTTCTCGGTAACTCTTTCGAATGCTGGCACCTCTCTAACTATATCGCGGAATCGATTGAGACGGTCGATCCCCTGTTCGGCAACCATGCGATTCAGTATGGGTAGGAATCACCTTTAATGAGGGTCGATAATTGCACGGTCTTGTTTCTGGGCTTGGGAGTATACTCCGCTGGAACAGATGGCCGGGCATTTACCGCCAGCCTGGTCCGCCCCTTGGCGTCGATCCTTTGACGTGCATCAGGTGGCGGGCGCGACCTGCTGAATCCCCTCACCAGGGTGGCAGAACCATAGATAGGTAAGGCCATCGATTGGCAGAGTGCTAGCCTTCATACATACAGTCCCAGTTCGGCGCATCCAAACCTTCAGCTGCGTCTCGATGCTGTGTTCTCAACCATTGCTTCATCCTCATCCTCAATAAGATCGAAATCCGTTCGCAGTTATCCAGGCCGTACAGGTATCGAAGCGTGAAGAAATGTCAGAAGAAGATGCGATGATTTATTCGCCAGGCGGCACGTATAATTGTTCAGAACGACCGCGCCAGATTCTGGCTAATGGCGATATTGGCGGCATCGGTGTATGAACATCTCCCGCCCACAAACGCTGCTTTCGTACTGACAATCGCTATCCAACTTAGGTAGCTTTGAGTTTCCAGCTTACGGCTTGGCTAGTCGTCGCTCTCCTTATTATCTACTACACGGCCGTGTACGATCCAGCATGGTTCTCATCAGTCACTCACCTCTCGGCACTGTCATTCTTGCGGAACTATCTACATAATCGACGAAAGGAACATATCTAGAGAGCAGCTTCGATGGGCATCATGCTAGCTCTGTCCTTTTCCGCCGCTTATCCGACGAGTCATTTCGACTGGGGTAGGACAAGTAAGCCCGCAGATTACGCTATATGTTCCTTCCGCCGTCATAGTCGGGAAACGTCCGCCACCGCTGCCTTCGAGTCTATGGTGATGACTGATATACTGCTTGCGTACGGTTACTTTATTCGGTTGTTGAAGATGATACCTCAAGGAGATCGCAAGACCCGAGCAGTCGCGGAGGGCTGGAGCAGGCCATTGAGAAATACTAATAATACCCGACCTCGTTCAGGAAGCTTCCTCCAAAGGTTGCGTTAGGCGATAAGTCGAAGCTCGGACTTCCAGGCGGTTTCCCAAGTGCTCTATGTTCACTTCAGTCTACTGACATCTTTCCTTGCGGAGGTAAGCATCGACTCCAAGCCCGGATCCCTTTGTCTCTACCTCGCTAGCGGCGCCTCGCTTACCCACGCCGGCGGCCAACTTAGCTGTACCACCGAAGCGAATGGTGGCCCGTATTTTGCTCGACCGAAAACGCTGGCAGAGTGTGCTAACGGAGAGCCTAGGTCTTTTGGATCACCATGTCTGTCGCGTGGGGAACTCGAAGATTTGTGACAGTGAGAAGCGAAGCTCAACGTCCAGTAGGCGAAGACACCTGGACGTTCGAACAAATTCTTCCGCTCATCATGTTAGCTGCGCCGATACTCACTTTCACTGAGCATATGACCAACGAGGAGGGTCCCGGAACAGCACCACAACCACACGACGGTACTTCAGAGCAAACTATTGATAAAAACGAGAATTATAATTAGGATACATGCTAAGGCAAAGAAGACTCTAGTGTTTGCCCTAGATGCCAACGGTTTCCGAGTTGGGCATGGCACGAACGATACTGGCATTTTGGGATTACTCCGGCACGCCACACCGAGCCTGTTGATCTCGATCAAATAAACTCGGCCACCTTTTACGGTCTCCTCGCCCTGGCAGCTTTGTTTTATGGGCAAATGGGCGAATTGGTTTTCTATAACGATCCACGTCATATCTCCAAGCTCGCGCAACTCGTCCTTTCCAAGTACCTCGTATTCACGTCGTATCTCCAAATGTTCTGGACCGCGGCGGCATCCCTGGTCCACCGGCTGGGCCTACCAAGCTTTACAACATCTTTTTCCCTTGTCATTGTTTTCCTCTCTACGCTCTCGGGAGCTATGCTTCATCACTTCGGGTGGGACTACAAAGGTTTCCTCGCAGAAAAAGAAGATGCCGATGTGTTGTTGGCCGATGCCGTCTTCGGAGCATTGATTATATGCCACTTTGCTTCTGCACTCTTCCTTTTGCGGTCTGGGTTTACGTCAAGGGAAAACCCGAGGACGTCCCTTCGATCCTACCCCACACTTGTTCCTTTCTTCGAGCATGTTAAAACGCGCAATAGGACTACTTGTGTGGACGACAGGCTTGGTCCTATGTGGCATTTTTTTTGGTCATCTTATGCGCGTGTGACAGGATGATCTACTGGGCAGTTACCATATACGCAAGCCCGGCGACCGCGGCAAGATTTTAATCCTTCAGGCGCTGTGGCTGCTTGCAGAGGTGGTCTTGGAAAAAGGTTCTTGCTCAAGACGCTGGGAGCGACGGTGGAGGGCGTGTTCATCTTGGCGTTGGCAGGGACGTTGGTTGGTGGTGTTATGCTATGCTAGCGGAAAGATCAAACCCGTGTGGTTACTTTACTTTGCGAAAGGCATGCTGACGTTTATCTCGATTACCAACATTACTTCCGGTATGTGGATCATGATGTGGCCGCTGGTAATTTTATCCTCAGGAGAGTCTTAGATATAGATGCGTGACACGGCTTCTAGCTGAGTGGAATTAGAATTTAGTGATGGTACCGTGAAACATCAATCTGATTCTTGCCCTAAGCTACCGTGTAATTGGCATTGCTCAGCACTCAGCAAGGGTGCAATGGTCTTTTCCTGTCTCTATGCCTTAACGTCACCCCTCAAGTACTGGGTTGATGGAATACATCCGCAAGTGGTAGCCAGTTCATCCTTAAACAGTCGTCTAATCTCTAGGAATCGGCTGGAAGCATGGGTTGAGAGGGATGCCACAGATTTCCCCTTCCTAGGCGCCATTAGACGGCACGAGATATATTTCCCCATGTTCATGCCAAGATCGCCATCCAGGCATATATCTCTATGCTTTGTATGGAAACCGGGCCAGACGTCCTCTCTATTACCCATTTCTACCTTACGTACAAGTCATTCCAGAACAAAATATCCCGTAGACGCTCCTCAGGCAAGTTAAGAGCAGCGTAATGTTCTCTTTTAACCCCTCTGATGTGTAGAGCGACAGCCTCCGCGGTTTTCCACCCAAAGAAGCCTGCCATTTCCCAATCGACTAGCCCAACAATCTTATCCTTATCTACAATGAGATTTGATTGCGAGACGTCGTTGTGCATAAAACCTACATCTGGATCGTCGGCATGCTCCGCGAAGATGATGTCCCGCTCAAGCTCCTGAATGCCTCGATTGCTGACAGGATCCGGGTCCGGGACAACATATGAGCGTCCAGGGTCAGAAGGCGGTGGGACGATGGTGTGAAGTTTCCGGAGGATGTCACGCGCCTGCTCTTTAAATGATTGTTTTTGTGGCTGCGAGAGATACCTCCATGCTACACACAAGGCCACGCCGGGGATCCTCTCCTGCACCAGAACGCTGCGGCCGTTAATCTGGGGAAAAGTCAGTTGAATTTCATTCTAGAGAGGGCTGAGGAGAAGATTATATACCTTCCCCGCGAAGTAGATGTCCGGTGTCCGAATGCTTCCAAGGACAGTTCGGGCAAGGGTGATCGCGGCCACCTCATTTGCATCCGCCAAAGTGTAGTCCCGTCCTGGCTCGTCCTTCAAATGCGATGACTTGACAATAACTCCGCCGAGGGCAAACACATCGCGGCCGCCTGTTTCATTCTCGTAAATGCGCTCCTCGGGCGTACATTTGCCAAGCACGGAAGTCCAGTAAGCAATAGCTTCTGGCGTTGTCGACTGGATGTATTGTGCATCTGGCTTAAAATCATTTGGGCGTGGGAGGTATCGCCCGAAATGAGGAATATCACCGTAGAGATCCGTAGAGGGGATTTTTGAAGGGTCTGCTTCGTAAGGATCCATTGCAGGTTGAGTTGAAAATGACGAGGCACGACCAGGACGCGGTGGCACTGGAGAGTTGGCTTGAGAACCGCGTTGTGGTGTTGGAAGTTGGAACGTCCCCTCTTTCGAGCTGGAACGCCAGACGCCCAGCATTTCATTATTAATAGTGAACTTCTTCAAATTCACTCCAACGAGGCTTGGGCAACCCCCACGCAACAACGCCTTTTTCTAGATGCAATGTTGTTGTTGCCTGGTTCGGAGGCAAGACTAGAAAGATGATAGGACGAGACACGATCCCAGGCCGCTCGCTCAGGGTCTCCTGGGAGGTGGCCGGGCCTCGCTGTCATCTGACGACTTGAACATAGCCTTGGGGTCGCGACCTGGTTAATGCGGCGGACTGCAAGGCGAACAAGTCTCATCACGCACGCAACCCGCCATCTCGCATCCCGTGGGGGAAAAAAATCATACAGTTTGCTCGATGGTGGCCTCGAGAGCCTACTCTCTGCGATCCGAAGTAGAACAATTAAGAACAGCATTGAGATTTCCCTCACCTCGTGGAGGCCGGTTGTGGTGACCTGGCAGACCAGAAGATGAGTAGCATCACGGTTATAAAAGGGGTCATATCATCCTACAATGCTTCAATCTAAACGCTGCTCTCCAACCCTCTCTCATACTCTCATCTTACAATCGCAACATCGACTTATCCAACTACCATCGAAAAATTCATCTGTCCCTCATTGCATCTATCCTTCAGCTCTACTTCGACAAAATGGCCCATCGATGTGAGGCTTGCGGTGGATGGATGAACACCACCAAGGGCGGCGTCCATGTCTGTCCTGGTGGCGGGACGAGGGCTCGCCCTGAAGTGCGAGATATGCAGTCTACGACTGAGGCCTGCGACGGTGTCCCGCAACTCGTGAACATTCATGAATAGACCATTCGCCGAGAAGGTGAGTACCCGCCGTGAAAGGATATGAGAGAATGAGAGTCCCGTCTTAGCTCTAACCACCCCTACAGTTTCATGGAGGAACGAGTTACGCCTGTGTTTTCTGCCCTTGGATCTACGGGTTTTGATGTGTGTGGCACGGAAAGAATATGTGGAGGATGATGCTTTGTTAGATAGTCAATATACCACTTGCTAAACAAACCTGTCTCTCCCAATGGGCAATTGCAATTTCATAATTTTCCGGGCTCGCCCGACAAGAGCTTCGAATGTATGTTGGAGCGGTTTGAGAGCTTCTTTTATTTTTGACTGCCTACTAGTCCTTACTTTGGAGACTATGGCGGACGGACCAAAAAAGGATTTGGGGGTGCAGAGGCACTATTTTTAGCACCATCCTTCGTTTCTACCACACTGGTTGGTTGTGCAGCCGATCAGCGCATTTACAACAGAAGAGTCGATACTAGGTGAGAACCAGAGACCAGAAACCTGGAGTTAGTGCATTGATAGACGGGATTGGTCTCCAATACCAGAAAGACTCTGAGCTTCGTCCATGTCCTGAAATCTTGCCTGCATGGGCGATCCACATATTATGACCGCGCATGTTCGCCAGGCTGTTTGCAGCACTTGTACTTCGCACATGTGGAAACAGAAGCTGGCAGCATCTCATCGTCAAGAGTCCCATCTTTCCTCCGATGTGAGGCCAAGGGGGGGAACCCAGGTTCTTGAGATACTGCAAGGAAATAGTCTTCGACGAACACATGTTGTTTCTAGCTAGGAAATAGGTCATTCGAGTTGGTGGAAGTGTGAGACAAATCTAACGAGGTTTCTATGTTAACTTCGTAGGCGTTGTCTTTAGTCTGATCCATCAACTTAGGAGGGTTGTGGAATGTAAACTGCAAATTGCAGACAACATCGAATTTGTTAACCCCGACAAGAAGCACCAATTGTGTTCTGGCGACATCTCCGACCACTGATGAGCTGCATCACCTTCTACCATGTCCGGCAACGATTTTTTTTTATCGCTTCGATAAATGTCTCTTTGACCTCATTTGCTTAACTTTCATGTTTGTCGGCAGGCATTGGATAACTGCTAACAAGTAACATGGAGCTGGGGAAAACACTGAAACTTGTTTGCTTTCTTCAACAAACGAGGCCGATTGCTTGTCCGCCGAGAATTCGGAAGGCTAAAACAGATTTAGATTTGAATCCGTGAACAATCACTTCGGTCTTGGCTCGGATAAACACTTCCAAGGGTGTCGAGAGGAGGACGCGCGATCGTGGTAGAAATGTCAATTTCAGACGGTTTGCTTGACGACCGGGCACCCCTGGGAGCCGAGGCCACGCGAGATGCTGGCGGCGCACAGTCCAATAGATGCGATCAATTCTGTGCAAGGTTTCGGGGGATTCCCTTCAATATTCGTGCAGACCCTCGCTCGAGTATTGAAGAGCAACTCTCCAGTTTCTCTTCGCAACCATGAAGAACACAAATGTCAATATCAAGGCGGCGGGCCATCCACGGCCGTTGCGCGGCGTATGGGAGCCAGATCCCAAGCCTGGGCCCAGTGTAATGGACAGAATCTTGTCAGTTTACACGCGTGCGAGAAAGCGACTGTCCAAGCCAACATCGCCGGTCCCAAGCCAAGATGCAAGCCGACCAACTGCTCCCCAACGTAGCCGCCTATGTGCTCTTCCAGACGAAGTGGTCTTGCAAATCATGCAATACCTCGACGGCATCTCTCTGCTCTGTCTGAGGCGCACCTGCCGACTCCATATGCGCCTGTTTGGAGACAAGTCGTTTACGGCTTGGCATGGCCTCCCCGAAAAGACCGGGCCATGGCAATCCGAGAACTCGCGAGCGCTCACTGACGTGGCGGACCACAAGAGGTTTCTCGCCCTTATCAACAGAGACCGATTCTGTTCCGAGTGCGCCAAAAACCTCGCCGGTCCCAAGAGAGAAGCGTACAATTCCTGGGCCTACGAATTCCTCCACTGTCGCGGGTGTCTAGCCGACCATCGCGCATACGCTTTCTCACCAGAGCAGCGACGTTTACCCCCTCACCATCGAATATGCATGGCTCGTGAAGGCTACGGACGAACATGTCCGCATCAGCGTTTCAAATGGGAACGAATCGAGCGGCGCGCACTGAAGAATTTCGAAATAAAATTTCGAGAGGAGCCCATGTACACTTGCCGAGTCTCGGGCTGCAAGGCCTTGATTACAGCCCACTACATGGGGACTGAAATCTGCGTTTCGATTTCTACACATCTCCGTTCGCGTGGATCCGAGAAAGACCACGACGGCCGGAGAATAGGCTGGCTTGCGGAACCCTTTGAAGTGGAGTTCGACAACTCCAGAAGAGCTTATTTCTTCAGGGGGCGTCCGCGGGGTCCTCTCAAGGATACCCTCGTCCCCAGCGCTAGCTGGTATCACTGTCTCGAGCCGACCTCGACCGGTTTGCTTGCGGATGTCGATAGCTACGGGATTACGTGGTGCAAGGATTGGACGTGCCCGAATTACTATCTCCGCCATGAACCGCCCGGGGATTTGGACATCTCTCGGCCTTGTGGGGATAGGTGCCCGTGGAGAAGGAAGAGGGGTTTTGATGCTATGGCCGAGGATCAGATGAAATGGACGTGACGGAGTCTGAAAGAAAGGAAAGAGAAAAGGGCGGCTTATAACACGTTTCGGGCGGAGGAATGAATTTGGGTTGGATGTGGACGCGCAGGCACTTTGCTTTCCTGATGGCGAACACCTGCCGCCTTTGGATGTGTGAGAGATTTAGGTCTCTTTGCTATATTACATGTACTTGTCGACCGGACGTGGTGAAGCGGGAAAAGACGGGTTTCCTTGGTATCCGCGTTAAAACGAAAGAGAAAGGCAACTGCAGCCGCACTTTTACCATTAGAGACTTGTCCAAAGTAGTTGGAAATCGCAACCTTTGGTCAGTTCCTCTAAATCTATCAGGGGAAATTTGGGTTTATCAGCTTGAGAGAGTGCAGTCCAAGGTCAAGGCGGACTCTTTCAGCAAAATTGCTTCATTCTATAGTCGGATATGACTCTACTATACCTCGTAAATGATAGGAGATGGCGCTTAAGCTTGCAAAGAGGACGGGTGACACTTAGAGGGATCTGGAAAGAACAGCTTTGATGCAGAAGCAAATCATCAGAGGCCAGAGGGTGGCAGAGGCTGCCGTCCTGGCGGGTCTGCAGCTGGTTGATGTTCCATCACCTTCACCAGCCGCTTGGCATGACAGGCGGATAGTCGGGCTCCCCCCTTGAAAGTGCCGTACTGGGTCAAGGTGAAAAAAATAGGGCCCTTCTAACTGGCCAATCTGGAGTTGCATTCAGAAGTGAGAGCAGGGGGCTTATCATTCCTCCGTGGCGTCCACGACTGCGAGCTTCGTATCTCGTCATACAACTCTGCTCCATCAGTGTCATTTTCTCTCTGCGGTTTGTTCTGATGCCATATTAAAGCACGCGGGAAGTACCTGATCCGAATTGTACGAAGTATTGATCGATTCCCGCCTGCGAAGTACAATTTGCATGTCGCGTCCAATTGTACCGTCGATTGCGGGTCCTTTTAAGATGCAGAAGGTACCCAGTACTTAGCACAGTACAACAAATAGTAGGTACTCCACACATGCGGAGTTGTATTTTACCGGCCGAGAAAAGGGCCAGTGACTTGGCTTTCCTAAGTGGTGATAGCCTGCACCTTAATCGATTCCATGAGCACGCGAGGAGCTGGGATTTTGATGGGTCAAGAAACCAAGAAAAGGCGAAAAAGGACAATCCTGCATCCAAAGTGGGAAGGGGAAAAAATAAGAAAATCCGAGAAAAACTTCGGGAACACGGTCAGATCCAATGTCCTGATAAAAGCCTCCCCTCCATTATCCTCCATTTTTATCCTCCGTCCTCTTCCCCCACAATCATCGTGTCTTGTATTGTGTATTGTGTGACACCTTCGTTTCGACGACAAGCCTAGAAAATCTTTTTTCCTTTTCCCTTTTCTTTTCCCCCTTTCTTCCTTCTTTAAACCCCTGTCGTCTTGGATTTGGCCCTATCTGATCGGCCTCGTCTTTCCGCGATTGACGCCGTCCGTCCCGACTGCTTCAACTTCGTCATGATACTAAAGTAGTCTCTTACCTCCTCGACTCACGATCCAGAACGACCCTTAATTCCATTGCTCTCTTTGCTTTTTACTTGCTCTGCTTATGCTTCTTATTCTTTCGCTTTAACCATTGCTCGATGAAATTGTTATAATCCGACACCCACGCTCGCTAGCTTTCAACCCTCTTCTCTTCCTCCTCCTTGGGCTCTCCTCCTTTTTATCTTACAGCTTTTATTTTATTTTTATTTTTATTTTTTTTTATTCCTAATAGACACCTCTCTCCTGTGTCGTGCGCCATGTCCAAACCCTTGATCACATTCCCGCCAGCCCTGGCGGCCTTCTTCTCCCGCGCGACTCCACGACGCATCCGCCCCGTCCATGCCGTCCTCGCAATCATCATCCTCGTCGTTTTCTTCCTCACCCGAACCTCCCCCGAGACGAATCCCCTCCCAAGCATATACGACTATACCGACAACAGGCCGCCACGGCCCATCACAGACATTTTCCTCTCCCGGACCTCAGCGGAGGCCACCTGGCTCGACGAGCTCGTCGACCGACATGCCATCCCCAAGGATGTCCGATACTACTCGGTGCGGATAAAACCGCATCTCAACGATTCGAGGCCTACCATGACCGACGTCGAGGCGAACTTCATGCACAATGGCTTCCGGGGCGTCCGGACCGACTCGTACAACCTCCGGTTGAATGCTGAGCATACTGTCCAAGTCCCCATCGCCAAGGGCACGAAGCAGGTTGATGTGGACGCTTCAAATCTCCTGTTTGGCATTTCGTCTTCGTATGATAGGATCATCCGCCAGGACGACGCTCTTATTCTCGACTGGACGAGGTGGCTCACCGACGGCAAGGGGAGCAGTAATGGAGCCTCGCTCGTCCTGACTTTGCGTCTCGGTACCGATCATGAGGTTAGGACCATCAAGCGGAAGCTCGAGGACGTAGGCATCGACGCCATAGTGACTTCGGATGATGCCGCCGACAGCCCGACTAGGTACTTTGACCTCATCGAACACCTCGCCATCCGCGAGTCGGCAAAGGGCTTCGAGAACTCCGGCGAGAAACGCTATCTCGCCGTCGTCGATGACGACATCTTCTTCCCTGACATGTCTCAGCTAGTCGAGCGCCTGAAAAAGTACAACCACGAGGAAGAGCACTACATCGGTCTCCCCAGCGAGCGAGCCGATTGGGTAGCCGACCCGGACGAGACGGTGACGTACGGCGGAGGCGCCATTTTCCTCACCCCTCCGGCGGCGACCAAGATCGCGCAGCTCCCGTGCCTGAGGGCCCAGGACACCAAGGATCCCCTGCAGGGCTACGTCAGCCAATGGGACCACCTAGTCTACGACTGCGTTTCCAACTACACCAAGCTCACCATGCACGTCCTCCCGAGCTTCTACCTCCCCTCCGACGAAATCTTCGGCCACTACTTCTTCAACTACGATCTCGGCATTGCCCCGCTCACCCTCCATCGCCCCCGCAACCGCCACCTCCTCGACCCTGGCAAGGCCACCGCGCTCCATCCCCACCTCAACCCGTCCACCTTCCTCCAGCGCTACCGCTTCGCAGACGACTGGGTCCTCGTCAACGGGTATACACTCTCGCATTATCCGGATGGTCAGGACACCGCCTTCCTCGGAAGCGACGCCGTGTCATCCCCCGATTTCGAGGCCCGCGCCGCCGCTACCTTGCCCCTGAACACGAACCTCGCTGTGGATGATGAGGGCCGCGATCCCCGCGAGTGGAGCGTCACTACGTGGGCTGGGAGCAGGCGCGTTTGGAAATTCGCCGACGCGAGGACGGATCCTGCGACGGGTGAGGTGTGGCAGGCTTACGTCCGGAGACGTGGTGACCCCGGCGTGTACACCGATGGGAGGAGAAACGAGGACAAGGCTGGCTCCGATTACGTTGTCGTCTTGATCTGGGAAGCTCTTCCTGGCGAGAATTAAACGGTTTTTGAACGAAAAGCGAAAGGACCTCTTTTTTTTTTTTTTTTTTTTTTTTTTTACTATTTTTTCTTAATTTTTTACGGCGGAGGGTTTATCACTGTCTTCCATCTTCGAGTATATATAGCCTTTTCTTGTTTTTTGGTCGTCTCGCAAAGTCATACGGGGAGTAAGCGTAGACTGATTTTGTTTTACTCTGGGAAATGCGTTTCATGTACAAGTCTGGGTGTGTTGGAGTTTTGTCTTTTTTCTCTCTCATCTTGATGGTTTATAGCTGTATCAAAATAGCTACACTTATTTCTCATACATTTGTTCCTCCTCTAGATGAGAGACATTTTTTTTTTTTTTTTTAAGATAATGACAATCTCAAAACATTTTCATGAATCCTCTTCAGGTCCGGAATAGGAATTTCGTCACACTACTCACCCTGTGGTTTTGTCTTACATGCCGGATACAAGTCTCGGTTCCCGATCAAGGATATAAGACATCGAGATGGCATCCTGCAAGATGCAGTCAGACAGTCTTACGAATGTCAGGTTCACCGCGAGGCTCAGCGTAAGATCTTACAGGACATCTCGTCATCCTTTCGCTCCGGCGGAGCACTGAACACGGGATTGGTGGAAAGGCAAGACAATACGCCTTGGTATACGTAGTCTATTTACATGCGTAGTTGCGGGGAGGAAGCAAAATAAGGACAATATTCCATCCATCTCCCAAATATACGGCCCAATAAGGGCGACGCCCATGCCAGATGCTAGCAAAATGTAGCCAAGTCATTATCAACCGTATCCTGACCCTAACGCTAACCAAGGAGGGAACCTCCCTCATCAATAGTACCTCCCATGCAAAAATAACCACCCGCTAAATATCCTGTGGAGTTCTATGTCTGGTGAATGTGAATGTGAATAATGATGATGCTAAAGCGAGTGTGCCCTCGCAAGTGCTCATGTGAGGAAGAAATTGGGGACGGGCTTCCTTCTGTCCCCAATCCTGCGAATCATTTGTAGGTCAGCCAGCAGTGGCTCTCTGCCAGACTTCATCGGATTGAAGTCCAGGCGAGGGCGACTTTACACGCCGCCACCGTAGAATACGTAAGGAGAAATATACACAAGAGGTGTATAGCTATCTGGATTACCATGTATCGGGACCAAACCTCCCTCCTTCAGGAACGTCCTGGTAAGGGCAGGCCCTCCAGTCACATCCCTGCTTATACACCTCGGTGCCCCACCACTTAAATCCCTTCGTCCACCCGGGATAGATAAACCCGAAGAAGACGACTACAATGCCGAACGCCAGACCCGAGTCGAGCGCGGCGCTCAGTGTCATAGTATACTTCGACCACCAGGCGTTCGCGCGCCTCTTGATGAGGTAGTTGAAGACGAAGCAGACGAGGGCCCACACGGAAAAGTTGAGGCCCGTGGCGGGTGGGATCCAGCTCATGGTTCCGAAGATGACGGGGAAGTTAACCTTCCTCAGGATGCTGTGTTTCTTGTTCCGGCTATAAAGCCAGAGCGGGATGGGGAGGATGGCGCCGATCAGGAAGAACCAGACCAGCGACCTGTACAGGGCGTTGGGGCCAAAGAACTCCCCCGGCCCAACGACGCCCCAGAGGATGGAGCCGTTGAAGTGGACCCTGGCTAGGGGGCACGTGAACCCGTTGATGGCTTCCGGCGTGCAGAGGCCGTGGACGTTGGCGAACATCCAGTTTAAGACGCCGATCTGGGTGAACGACGAGACTAGCGTGGCCACCATCTGGACCATGAAGAGGATTCGGGGCGGGATCTTCATGTAGTGGCCGAGTTTTAGATCGGAGGCGAACTTGATACCCTGCGCGGATGAGATGTATCCGTAGGTTACGAAGACCATGTTGGCGATGGGTCGACCGGGGAAAACGCTTCCGCAGACCAGCTGGCAGATTAGGTAAATGCTGCTATGTTGGTTCGTGACGGCCATGATGATGCCGTTCGGGATGAAGAAGATGGCGCAAATGCCGAGCGCTAGGAGCAATCCATACCACGGCAGATGAATAGGGTAACTAGCCGTATGAGAGTCAGACATGGTCAAATAATTGGTAGTCACACACGGCTGCTATGCAAGATAACGGGAAGCACAAGACTCACTATTCGACGATAAAGATGCCAATAGCCGTCATGGACGCAAACGTCATGAGGTACCAGCTAAGTGGCGCATCTTTGTACCTCTTCATCAACCGATTATGCACGTCCTCCTTGCCGAGCATACCCTCGAAAGTCCCCGTCGTAGTTCTCGAAAGCCCCTCGCGAGGCGTAGCACTCCCAGACCCTCCAGAAATATTATCGGTTGAGCCGGGGATAGGTTGGTACACAGGCTTGTCGCCTTCCTTGGCTTCTTTAAGGGCATTCTTCCACGTCATCCACATATCCTTGCCATACCAGCAAAATGTGTGCGTCAAGAGAGCCGCAAGGCCGGCAAACTGGACACCATAGCTCAAAACATAGGTGATGGGGAGGAATACCCGACTGTAATTGCTGTACGCCTCACGGTCAAAGAGGAAATCCGGCGTCAAAATTTTCGTGACGTCGTAGATCTTGCCCTTGTTGTCAAAGACGGAGGCGGAGAGGATGGGCATGTATGAGGAAAAATAGACGTTGCTGTAGTATGCCAGTGGAGCGATAATCCACATAACGATCGCCAAGCCACCCACGACGTTCACCGCAGCCCAGAAGGGAACGAGCAAAGGGGAGCCGATATAAGTGACCTGAGCCCAGTCGAATGTCACGGGGAACAGGCCCAAGCCGGAAACGACGCCGAAAAGGTTGGCGACGACCACGTTGTCGGGCGCGAACCACGTGAGAACATTAAAGTAGCTCAGAGCTGGAAATAGGAGCCCCGGTAAGAAATAGAAGAGGAAAGCAGAGAGCCACACGACTAGAAAGAACTGCCACCGGCTTATCGTCCATCCGTTAGCTGGCTTATTGTCCTCTTTATGGAGAGTTGAAAACATGGCCGCCGACATGAGCGTCGCGGGCCAGATCATTCCGCTGGGTCGGACGAGGAAGCGTCTCGTTATGCCGGCAAAGGTGTAGCCTAGCATCTGGGTCGATATAATTAGGAGCAGCTGATACATGATCGTTACGTCCTGCCCATAGAACTTATGCTGCTCGACGATGACATCCGTAGCGAAAGCGAAGCCGAATGCGACATTGCTACTGACGTATACGCAGGTGTGCTCCTTCTCGTTCCAACGGCCTTGGGCGAGCCATAACCGCAACCTTTCCCATCTCGATCGATTCCTATGGCTGATATCCTCGGGAGAGTTCAATATGCTGCCCCGCCGTACTCCGTCCACGAACTCATCGACGGGGTCACCATCTCGTTTCAGGAGATAATCCCATATATGACCTAGGGGGTGTACTAATAATAAAGCAATAACTGGGGTTATAGCAACGCTTGGGTATCTGAGGGAGAAGAAGAGATTTGTAGAGGATCCGAGGAAAGAGAATAGGATGGAGAGGGCCCACATCCTAGGGGTATTTATGGACAAAGTAGTATTGTCTATGGGCGAAACAGAGGCGCGCACGGCATCGTGGGAGGAGTTATCGATCGGATTCAGGTCTTCGTCTTCCTCTTCATTCTCAATGGTGCCATCCAACTCCTCCATTTCACTACCGGTCTCGGCATAGGAGGTATTCGCAGCGCTGCTGCCGTACGTCGACTTAGCATCCTCGAGAATGCCCGTGGAGACAGCTGCATCGGGGACGGCGAATCGGCCGTCCATGCCCGTAACTAGAACTGCACTGTCCAGTGCGCGGGATAGTGGAGGCGAGCCTTGTGGCGGCCCAGATAGCGACGGACGTCGTGCGAGTGTAGTACCGTTCTCGGAGACGTTGTTAAGGGCATGGGAGTTAGCGGCTTCCGCATCACTGCCCATGGGCGAAATCTCTCGACTCGGACTCGGCACTACCGACCCGTACGAGATGGGGTGCGGCTGGCCGGACCGGAGGAAGGGGGACCGGAGAGGCATCGGTAGGTCGGGTCTCGCGGAAACGTTTGAGGGACTGTCGCAACTGAGGGAGAGGCTCGGGGTGTATAGCTCATGGTTGGTGCAGGAGGAGCTCTGGGAGTCGTAGGGGTCGGCGACGGCGAGGGCGGCGTCCTCGGGGAATAGGTCGTTGTTAAGGGAGGGCGGATGGGGCTGATCGGAGGAGGACCCTGCCTGAGGGTCTGGGACTCGAACGGAAACGGAGGAGCTGCCTCGTGTTAAGGGCTGCAGAGGAACATCGCCTTGACTGGGAGAGAAGTGAGAAGAGTCACCGGAATCCGGTTGATCGGGACTGCTACCTTGTTCCCTCCTCCGGCCGGAAGACATGGTGCCAATAACGAGCGAGCCCCTGGTAGCAGGTCGGGGGGTGAGGGGGGTGTGTGCAGGGCACAACTCGAAGCCTCGGGTGGACTGGGAGAAGCTGTCCGTGGCGTGTGTGGAGGGTGCTGAATGCACCTCACGGCGGCGTGGGTAAGTGGGCGAGTTTGGTGTGGGGGGTCCCCAGTAAGAATGTCAGATTGTGCGGCGGGCTGCGCAGGCGGTGACTGGACTGGGCATCAGGCAGGCACCCTTAATCAACAGGCCAGGTCCATCCATGTCCCATAGCCGTCGCTTGTTTCGGCAATCCAAGCAACAAGACGATCCATTCAGAATCCGGTCATGTCATCTGCAGCTTAGCCCCTCCCGCGAAGCGCGCAGGACGGAGATGAGGCGTGGAGAAACTTGTAATAATAATACGTGCGGGAAAAGGGACGTGGTTGCAAGTAGTACGACGTTGGGGGGTGTATAGAAGAGGGGCCAAGTGAGGGCCCAGTTGATGAACAGAGATTTTTCTTGCGCCGTGGCCGGAAATACTTCGTCAATGGAGTGGAGACTTTGGCCGTTGACAACTTGGATTGGTGCTAACAAACAAAACGCGGCTGCGGATCGGCTCGATGTGGATTGCTACAGTTAGGGACAGCCCCGGATGGGGCAGGTGACAATATAAGACGGGTACACTGAGCCAAGAAGCAAGAGATTGACTTGATGCCTGCAACAAACAAGGATCAAAGACGGGTTGGGGTGCCGAAGCAGGAAGTCTGAACCACAGGCAATAATATTCGTGCTTCGTAATTACGAAGTAGCGCAGTGTCATATAGTGTATGAGTACTTCGGACTAAGAGAAACGAATGCGTGCGAAGTACGGAGTAATATGGACTGGGCAGTGAGTGGTAACGGATGTGGATTGTGGATGTGGTGATCAAGGGATCAAGTGTAGGATTTGAGATTGATAGCCCCGGTTATTTGCCAGAGGATCAATTGGACAGGGCATCCATGGTTGAATCAGGACCCCAGAGTCTCCAAGACGCCAACATCATGGGATGCAACAGCTCAGTAGTAGCGGGACAGCACGGGCTTGGCAGCGGGCGGAAACAATCCCTGCTAGAATTGATCCGAGACCACTCCATGCCAGCACGGTCTTTCGAGCATCGATCAATTTAGTGTCAGTGTTGTTCAGAGCATGGGGTTGCGAAGGGATCATGAGGGGCAGTAATGAGCATTGAGGTTAGCAGGTGAAGTCATGGCGGTGCTTGAGGTCTCAGTTTTGGTGCTGTCTTCCAACGTATCAAGGTAAGTACTTTTATCATCGATGCTGTGATTGACCAATGTTCACGCCCGGTACTTGATGTTCTAGATGAAGCACCGAGTAGGCCCCCGTCACTGATGTGCATTGCTGGCTATCAATCAATCAATCAATCAATCAATCAATCAATCAATCATCGATTGATATTGGAATCAATGAGGTCTGCGCTTCGACTTGGTGCTTGGAGGAATTTTGCCTGGGATTATGGTGCCCCACAGCAACCAAGACGGGATCTCGCTGGCAATGCTGATCACCCGAGGTCTCATCACATCCAAGGGACTGCGAAGTATTCAACATCAAGTTGCTTTATGCTCAGAAAAGTAGATGTACAAGGATACAACTCGAACGTTGATTTCTATGGTGTTCACAAAGTACCCAACACCTCGCACTTCGCCTGTATCCCTAATCAAATGCGGATAGGATCATACCTAGACGAGGGAGTGTCCAGCAGTAATGTCCTTGCACTCCTCCTGCAACGCAGAAGGCATACCGAGGGAGTCACCGGCCAGGAAATGCGCAGGACGCTGGCCGACCTGACCGCATACTCCCAAACGCATGTAAACCATCAATGCTTGCAGCAGGGTCTAGCCCGAGCCCGGTATGGAATCCGGGTTGTTGAGGGAACTTCAAGGATGTCGTACAGTTCCCCCCGTTCTACAATTATCGATCTCTTTATCAATCTCATCTTGATTTATGCGTTTTGCTTCCCAAAAAGTATGTTGGGCTCATCTCTCCCCTGTCCAATACCCCCGTCTCTTCCCTTCGGCCATGAAACAAGTCAACACAGAAAAGGAGGGTAAAAGACGGGTTCGCTCACGTTGCACGAGACACGGGTAAAAAGAAGCAAACATGACCACACAGCAGTCCTGTTGATTAGGAATACCCATCTTGTTATTGGCGGAGGGCGGGTACGCTGACGGGGCATGGAATCTCGGCCAGCCGAGGGGCATCACACTCCTCAACCCGCTGCCTTGATGGTGGTCAAGCAAGTTGTAACTGGGCTCGGTCGTTGTCTTGATCCTGCCAAATCCCTCTTCATTTCTGCTCAGGACGAGACTGACGAGATTTGAGAATCGTAGAGAACAGCTACCCTCTTACAAAACACGTATGATCCCGGAGTCTTGGTAAAGATTGACGTCGCCGTCAGAACATTTGGCTGCTGAATTTTGGGTCTACATTCTGCAATCCTCACATTATCGAGATACGCTACAAGTACACATGCATTAGTCTCAAAACTACTCCGTACACTCCCGCTTCATTGACGTATGAAGACGTAATGCATTCATCGGATTATGATTGCGGCTGCCTAATAAAGAAGGATTAAGCAGCATAACCAAAAGTACGCTCCTTCGGAGCTAAACTAACCTTCGACCCGCCAGCCATTGCGAGGATGGAGTGTGGTGGTTGCCCACATTTGACCCACGATACCATCAGGTGAAACTGGGAACTGAAACCTCGTTCGGTCGAGATACCAGTTTTTCGTACCCGATCCTGCTGATTACGCTTCAACCCCCGAGGATTACTAACCTGGTATACAGCACTCACTTACCAAATACCAAATACTTATACCAGTGAATGCTTCATTGGGAACCCTCTCAGTAGCTGCAATAGCGGCTACCATGTCGTCGGCCATGAGCTTTGATCCGACGATGGGGATACCCTCTAAATTGTTCAGTTGGAGACTCGACGCTGTTGGAACTCGACGATGTGAACGACAATATATCTCATCCGAGCGAGGCGACACTAAGACTTTGCTCTGCCGTGCTTGGTGCGCTAACTGACCTTGATGATGTGACCAACACCTTGACCGCCTCCGGCGAGGAGCTTCCGCGCCGCCTCGCCCCAGGGTTTTGTCATTTCTTTAATCACATGGTCCACGCCGACCTTCTTTCGCTTCTTTTCCTTTTGGCGAATTCTCATCCTCACAATAAGTGTTGCACCAGCGCCCTTGGCGAACAGTCGTCCGAGTAGTTATGCGTTCATAGACCCCATTTTAGACAAGGTCGGTTGAAGCAACTGGAAAGATCATATGGGCTTAGCGGTGAGTCTATCAACTTACCTAGAAAGTGTGTCATCCGTGCCACTACCAAGACCGTTCAGCCCTGTTCATTTACCATACTCGTGACTTTGGTTTGGGATGGGACTCTATTACCCAACTCCCGTTTCTCCGCTTGGTGACTTAGTAGCCAACCTCGACTACCTCGTTGGTGCTCCTGCAACAGAGTGATAGAAAAGCCTTCTGAGGTGGAATATCAGCATTATTATTACTCTTGGCGTGACCATATAACAATGAGTGCTCGATGTTGCGGCGAGTTTCACGGGGGCATCATTGCTTTCCACTTTTGGAATCTCAACCTCTTTCAATTTAGTCTACCTGTTTGTCCTTGGATGTTGACGCCCACTCTTTACTCGTGGCAGGAGCCAGAGTGTCTGATTCTCTCTAGGCTATTTGCTTCTGCCTCTACTTCTTCCTTCCGGGGTATCATGTTCACAGGCTAGAATGTTCTACGTTTTGGTACCTGGGGTAGTTAAAATCCCCCAGTTATGAGCATCTCGGATTACAAACCGATAATCCTTCATGAGATGATTGCCTCACCGACCTTGACCACGGTCCGGCCAAGGGAACTCATGCTTGAAAGCAAAAACTGATATGGATGGCTTCCATTTCAGGCTCCTTCAGGGCTAGGCCTATTTATCAAGCTCAGTGAAAGTGGCATGAGCCAAATTCCCGACTCCTGACAGGCGACACGTAGGCAGGGTACGATATCGTGGGTGTGGAGCAGGCCTAGGTTGCCCATTTAGGGAGACTCATCCTGGATGGATCTTTCTAGTAAAACGAATTGCTGAGATACGGTTCATACGTTTGAAGCAGCCGGTTAACCTTTTATCTTAGTTTTCTTTTGCCCTAACTTCCTTGTAGATCTGACGGTTAAAAGATCGTACCCTACAACTGTTCCTATCAAGGAAGGTCAAATCCTACTTCGAAACGAGGCTCGAAGATAAAAGGAGCCAAGAATCAGTGACACTTGGTCTAACAGTTTATTCCCAGAAGGTTGCTTCAAAAGACTCTTGAAAGGGTCATCGTCTTCGTCCTGGCTCAATGTCAATGCTTTCCACTAATTCCAACTCTTTACGATCACGAGGACCAGAAGGACGTTGTCTACCAAAGGTAACGTAGAGGACGACTTAGAATTAAGCCTTAGCACACGCTTCCTTTGGAATCAGACAACGAAGGAAAGCCATACCAGGCAAACTTTAATCGGAAACTGGAATCGAGCTGATCATCTGCAACCGGCTAGGTTCTTCTCAGCCCTGGCAGTACAATGCGTCCTGAAGTTTTGGATAGCTGGTTGACGGCAGGTAAATCTGTTGCTGCTTGTAGCAGAGGCAGGTCATCAGAGCGCTCGGCATAGAGACTCCGCGTCGGGGGATGGCTGGATCTTTGGCTCGGAAAAGATGCGTGTGGCATCATTTCAGACCTTGGATGTGTCTCTTTCATCGTCTCGCGCTCTCAGATATATTGCTGCACATATCTCACCTGGCGTCAATCACAAAAGCTGGACACCGAATAGTTAAAGAACACTGGGGCTATTGTATGATTGATTCTATAGTATGGAGTGAGATTCATGTGCTATGGAAAAGGCCTTGGGATGGAATGAGACGGGGGATGAGACGGGAATGAGGATGTAAATTAGACGCCGAGGCATCAGATGTGAAAGGGCGGGGGCGGGTTAAATGGATGTACTGCGTTTCTGTACTAGATAAAGATCAAAAGGACAATGAGTTGGGCTGCTACGCTGCTCGTTGCTTATATCCAGAGAGCCGCATGAGCAAATCGAAACTTTGACCTAAAGTAAGGATGGACATGCTGTAGATAAAAGTAGTCGCGTAATTGTATGTACTTGCCATAAATTTTAGAATATCTCATCAATATCCTTTACTTACTTCTTTCTCTTCGACTTGAAAGGGGACGGCATCAATCCAACCGAGGTCGTGAGCAAGCAGTCATTTTGATATCAATTGATGCATCTCCGAGGATTTCCGGAGGCAATACGCCGTGACCTTTGTCCCGCTCAGACTTCCCCGAGGAGTCACAAAAGGAGACCGAAAAAAAAAAAGCGGATGCCCCGCCTAAGAACACAAACGACACCAGCCATTTACACTCCCTTTCTATAACGGTATTCCGACCTCGACTTTTGAGACGGATCCCTTCGGCGCAGCGAAACCGGCATTTTATCGGAGCGTCGGCCAAGATGGCGACGCCGCTCGTCGCCGCAAAGCAGCGGATTCGGGCCATGATGAAGCAGAAGCTCTCTACGCTCTCACAGGAATCCGTGACAACTCAGAGTGAGCATCTGCTATGAAGCCCTGCATTAATGCTTTGGTTAACTAACCTTGAGATGAGGTCGCGTGCTGTTTGAGGCCCTGAAATCCTTTAAACCATACAAAGAAGCGACCCGCATAAGCATATTCCTCTCCATGCCGGGTGGTGAGATCCAGACCGATGCCATTGTTCGGGATGCGCTGCAGAGCGGGAAACAAGTCTTTGTCCCATATCTCCACAAGACAGCCCTCGAGGCTAAGAACTCACCTACTCGAGTCATGGATATGGTTCAGCTCAAAGGCCTTGCAGACTATGAGTCACTCAAACCAGACAAATGGGGCATACCCAGCATCGACCCTGCCACCGTAAACGAGCGGAATCGGATTCTGGGCGGGGGTGCCGAAGACGAGAAATCCGACTTGCCGGGTTTGGACCTAATACTGATGCCGGGTGTGGCTTTTGACTATGACGAGGTAACCGGTCATATCAGGAGGTTGGGTCACGGAAAGGGCTTCTACGACTACTTCATCTCTCGCTACTCCAAAGTTTACGGTTTGAGGGATGATTCCGGAAGGCCCTCTGTGCTCCTGTATGCGCTGGCACTCAAAGAGCAGTTTCTGATGCATCCTGAGGAGGAGGGAATTCCTGTCGGTCCCCTGGATGAACCTCCGCATGGTGTTTTATTGGGGGACGGCGTTATAAAGACTTCAAAGACGGAGTTTTCAGATCGGTGACAAGCTGTAGAAATAGAACTTTTCATTCAACGGTATCCCGACTGGATTCCACGATTTGTTGGGTCGGGGAATGTGCGCGAGAGTGGCATAACCCTCGCAGGGATCGGTTTGCCCGGCTCTTAACGGAGCCATTAAAGACGCATCAAAAGCGCCCAGTACAACAGAATTTACGATGCATGCCGAGTCTGTACACGTGAGAAGTAGCGGGATGATCTGACCATCTTCAGGAGGAACAGAACAGGAAGGGCTGGGGCTCAGGGTGATGCGTCAGGAGCTATGGGTCAGATATCATTCATCGATTGCTATGGAAGGAATAGACGAAAAGACTGCCGAAATCAGCAATTGCTCCCTGATTTTCTTAGGTCGTCGTGTTGCAAATGGGTTGCTGTGGTGGGAAAATTGTTTAACCGATACCGGCACGTTTAGTCTTCCCACTTTGGATCAATGAGGCGATTTGAACATGGTGGTTTTTACAGTGTACTTTCTTGTTGTATTTTGTATGATGAGCCACTGGTTGCGCAGTGACGCCGCCTGTGAAGAAGACCCCGCCGAACAATCTGACGTCTACCAAAATGTTTCTCGAGACTCTGAAATTATCTCCCTAACCTAACATCAATACCCCTTCCCCAAGACCTCCCCAGACGACATCGAATCGTTCATCTCGGACAAGGAAGTCTCGAGTCAGAGCGTATTCTGCGTTTTTCACCGTTCAGGAAGTTACGACTACGACGCGATAATAACCAGGCTGCGAATAGGCATTGTTTGGCCTTCCCCCCCACTATCATACCTTGGCCCAATTAAGCTCAACTCCTTCCTCCTCGATTCACCCCATTCCCCGCCACTCTTGACATCAGGGCCGCCCGCGGGTCCTTTCCGATAGCGACCGTATTTCTTTCCATTCCCCCTTTTTTTTCTTTTTTGCGAACCTTTGATACCTCATTTCTGCACATAATGGCGACGAACGGCGCGCAGGAGTCATACGCGCTCCCCGACGTCCTCGCTGCCCTGGCGACGATGCGGGGATCAGAACACCAGGCGACCAAGAAACGAGCCCACGAATTCCTTGAGAACTTCCAAAAATCGGTTCGACAACTCCCTTCCCGGACGTAATCTGCTCCTGCCGACGACTAACTTCTGTTCAGAAAGGTGCTTGGGGTACCGTGATTGGGATACTACAGTCTGAGACTGAGCCGGAAGCAAAGCTCTTTGCGGCCATCACTCTACGCGGCAAGGTTTGTCCCACCGCCTTTTCCGAGTACTAGCGTCGCATCTACTGACTCCGTATGCGAGTTTTAGATTACCTACGATCTTATTACTCAGGTGCCTGAGCCCGAGCTGCCCGCCCTCCAGCAGCAAGTCCTCCTATTGCTCAAGCATTACTCTGCCGGCCCGAAGCCCATTCGGGTTCAGCTTTGCGTTTGCCTGGCGATATTAGCCATACAGATGAAGGATTGGAAAGATGTGCTTTCCACCGTTGTCTCAGCCCTTGGTGACAACGTCGAGAGCCATGCCTCCATTCTCGACTTCCTCAGAGTTCTCCCGGAAGAAGTAATCGAAGGCCGCAAAATCACCTTGACTGTACGTGGATAAAATTACAATATCGAGATGCACATGCCGTCCAACGCGTCAACACTTTCGGTGCCTATTTTCAACAAGACATTGGAGTCTAATCCCGAAATAACAGGAAGAGGAACTTAGCCAACGAACGTCGGAACTTTTGGGAGGGAATGCTGAGCAGGTTATACAGCTTCTCATCAACTACGCCCAGTCGTCGCGTAAGTCAGCCTCGGGCCGCGCAGGTTTACTAAATCCGAGCCTGTTGCTAACAGTGCAACCCTCTCACAGCTACCGCCGCCCAGAACCCGCAGTTGATGGAATGCATCACTTCTTGGCTTCGTGAGGTCCCTCTCAACGCTATTGTCAATTCACCTCTACTAGACGTCCTCTTCCGTGGCCTTGACGAAGATGCCGCGGTGGAGGAGGCGGCTGAATGCCTATGTTCAATATTTAGGGAAACTGCCGAAGTCGACGACAACCTGGATACCATCAAGCTCTTGTTCCCGAGGGTTATCGCTCTGCAGCCTCGTATCAAGAAGGCGGCTGACGAGGAGGACGCCGAGACCTTCAAGGCGCTCACAAAGATATTCTCCGTGGCGGCCGAGGCCTGGGTGATCGCCATCGTCCGGCAACCTCGCGAGTTCAGGCCTCTCGTGGAGGCAGTCCTTGAATGCGCGGCAAGGGATACTGGCCGCGAAGTCATCGAGCACACCTTTGAGTTCTGGTACCAGTTGAAACAGTATCTCGTCATCGAGCGATACATCCAGTCCCGTGTTGAGCTGGTCGACGTATACTCCAAGCTCGTAGATGTCCTCCTGAAGCACCTCGAGTACCCATCTAGCGAAAGCGCGAACGAGCAGGACCTGTTCGACGGTGATCGCGAGCAAGAGGAAAAGTTTAGAGAATTTAGGCATCAGATGGGGGATACACTGAAGGATGCGTGTGAGGTTATGGGTGTAACCGAATGTCTCGCCAAGGTTCTCCAGGCTATCCAACTCTGGCTGCAAAAATACGCTAGCCAGGTGTCTGGCACGACTGTCCCCCATTGGCAGCAGCTAGAGGGTCCCTTGTTTGCTATGCGCGCCCTCGGCCGCATGGTGGACAAAGACGAGAACATTGTTCTCCCTCAGCTTATGCCTCTGCTAGTCCAGATCCCTAGTCACGAGAAGCTCCTCTTCGCGACGATAATGGTCCTGGGCCGGTATACCGAGTGGACCGCCGCACATCCCGAATATTTTGAGCGCCAATTCCAGTACATCACGTCATCTTTCCACACCGAATCCAAGGAGATTATCAGAGCTGCGGCGGTTGCCATCAAATACTTTTGTACTGATTGCCGAGACTTGCTCAGCGGTCAGGTGCTCGAGCTTCACGCCTTTTACAACCAAATCCTGGACAAACTACCTGAAGTCAGCCAGGAAGAGATGACGGAAGGCGTCGCGAGCGTGGTGGCTGCTCAGCCGGAGGGTGAAATCTACAAGCTTCTCAAGCTCTACTGCGACCCTCTAGTTCAGCGCGTGGTGGACAAGGCATACAAGGCGACGACCGACGATGGCAAACTGGCTCTCGCAGGTAAGACAAACAGAATTACATTTTCATAAGAAACAGAACGGTGTTACTAACGGCTTCCACAATCTAGACCAGGTTCAACTCATCACGGTGTTTGTTCAAAACGTCAAACCATACGTTCGTTCCGGCGACAATCCGGCTGTCAAATATTGGCAAGAGGTTTTCCCCATCCTGGCCAACATTCTGGACAACTTTATCACGTTCGTTCCGATTTGCGAGCGCATCTGCCGATGCTGGCGTCACATGGTGATCTCTTACCGGACCGCCATGACTCCTCTTCTTCCTGCAATGGCAGATAAGCTCGCTAGCGGGTTTGTTGCGTCGAAAGAAGGTTGCTTCCTGTGGGTGACGGCCGCTATTCTTCGCGAATTTTCCGAGGATCGAGAGCAAGTGGACCCTAGCATCACCGAGAATATCTACAAGTTCTTTGAGGCCCAAGCGACGACCTTCCTCCGTGAGATGGCGACTTTGCAGCCAAAGGAGTTGCCCGACGTCATTGAGGATTTCTTCCGTCTGCTTGTGGATGCGCTGCTCTATTACCCTCAGAAGCTTGTTCCTTCGGAGCTTCTTACGCCAATCTTCGACGCGGCCATCTACGCCTTGCAACTGGAGCAGCGGGATCCGCTATCGGCGACACTCCATTTCCTTTTGGATCTCATCTCATATGCAGGTGATAACCCGGCCACCGGTGAAGGGTTACCTGCGGATGTAGCTGTTCAGCTGCGCGGAATCGTCAGGAATTTACTTACGACACGTGGCGAGAGTCTCATTAAGCAGGTCATGGCGGGCATGATGATTACGTTCCCCAGTGATTGTTTCGTGGATGGCAGTGGCGTCCTATTATCTATGTTCAAGCTGCTCCCCGCGGAGACTACGACCTGGGTTGAGCGGACTATCCAGCTGCTTCCTCAGGGTACCGTTTCGCCCGTCGAGTCTAGTCGCTTGATGGCCAAGATCAGGGAGAAGCTCCAGGTGGACGACCCAAACAACATCAGGCAAGTCAGGGCTCTTCTACAGGATTTTACGAATAGTTACCGCCGCAGAAACGTTGCGCCCCGCGACGGACTCGGTCAACTCAGCGGAGGGAGGTTCCAGTTCACTGGATAAAAGAGAAGGGAGAAAAAGGTATTAAAAATGGGAGGACATAAAAACAAGGTCGCCAGTGTATTTTTGAGACGAGGAAGGCAGGAATCGAAAATCGAATCACCCCATTCCAAAGAGGATATTATTCGCCGTATAATACAACGCCAGTGGCATTCGAGTTTCCAAGATGTATCAGCTCGGCCTTTCTCTTCGCGAGAACGCTTGATATATGGATAGAAACGGCCGATAGAGTCACGATGGGATGAATACGAGTTGGGTGAAGCAACCATGCATAGTTTCAAGGAGAACCCACCCGGACAAGCAAAGATATCAAAGGGAGGGATAGACGAAATAGCAGACGGAGGCGCCAAAAATAATAATTCGAATGCTGTGTGAAGGGAATAAACTGGGATTCGATGATAGAACTTTGGTATTAGGGGAGCTCTCGAGGAGGCGAAGCAGGAATAATATTCCGCGCAGTAACTTTTTGCATTTGCGAAAACAATATGCATGGGTGAGTCTAAAGCTATCTGGGGGGACAAAGTTTTACGGTATAACTTGGAGGCGAGGGTATCGTGGGGAAGATGAACGAGAAGGGGAACGAGGTACGAGCACGATGATGGCGTAACGGTAACGATGATGCATGGAGATATTGATTGAAGGGAGGGGGAAGATATAAAAAAGGAGAGTTTGGAGGTTGGGCGTCTTGTAGATCGGGGTTGGGCAGCGGATATTTAACAATCACGAATCGGGGCATGCGACAGGAGCAATGGCACGGCTCATGATGGGGTGAGGGGAAGCTTGAAACGGAGATGTCGGGTCCGGAATTAGTCGCTGAGCAAAAAGAAGAGAGATGGATCGATGTTGGATCTGGCGGGGTTTCTGCTCATTCCACGAAAAGAACTGATGAGGACTTCTTTTTAAGCTAGACGCCGATATTAATAATGGAAGGTCTGGAGAAGGATGGAGTTGCGTGTGCGATGCCGTCGTGTGCGGTGAGTCTGCTATGCTTTACAGAATATTCTCGGCTCGACGACCCCAGGAACCACCCATTCGGATGCAGTAAACTATGCGAGGGCGCAGAAATTCCGCTGGCTTTGACGCCCGTTTACTTAGATCCGTGCCCTGGAATAAGCCGTGGAAAGGCGTGGGAAAGGGCGTGAGGGGGTTGTATTGACGCCGGAATTTATTGGATTTGGCGATGGTGGTTGGCTGGGGTTTTTACGAAGTCGCACGGGGACTTCCAGTTCGTATTCTTATTTAGACCAGATCTGTCAACCGCCTTGGGGGACATATGGCCGTCGTTACGGAGTTCGAGTTTAAAGAAGCTCGATGTAACTCAACTCGATAGACTTTTAAGGAGGCCTTTTCTCCTTTTCCTCGTGACTCACTCACACACGACACACTGAGAGAGAACTAAGGGCTTTTACACCCTTGATCACAAGAGGCAGACAAAACTCGCACACCAATTAGTCTCCCTCCCAATAAAATACATCAAGGTGAGAAACGATGAAAGACCTCTGCTCGGAAAAGCTGCGACTCATCCCCTTTGATGGGAAAAGTGATGCGCACGCGAAGAGGCTGTACCACCAGCGCATCGGCTGTGGATGGGCCGAGGATGAAATCGAGGCTTGGAGGGTTAAACACGAGAAGGGAGAGAAGGGGCTGTTCTGGCTTGTAAGTCCCTCTTTTTTTTTTTTTATTCCCGCGCAAAGGCTTGATGCTAGGTTGTGTCCCGGGTCATGAGAGGGCTCGGTGTCGGAGATTGCAACAAGGATCATGAGGCTCGGAGTCAGGGCAGGACGGTACTGAGACTGGTGGCTCCAGGTTCTACAGGACGGAGTTCCCGGACGGGACAAGTTGATGGAAGACCACAGCATCAAGTACCCAGAGGTAAGGAAGACAATTTAGATTTGTGCCGCCTGCACTGCCCTTCAAAAGTTCTCTAGATGGCCAACAATCAACTAGGAGAAGGAGTTATTGAAGGACTCGTCCATATCAGTCCTGGGACTTGAGAGGACGGCAACGAACCAAGACTTCGATACGATTGGCCACATCGCCGTCGAGCGCCGGCCAGCCACGGACAAAGAGCTCGGATTCCCAGCTGATGAAGTGGCCTGGATCACCAGCCTTTACATCTCCTTTGCCATGCAGCATCTCGGATTGGGAAGGGACGTGATGAACATTGTGGAGAAGTTCTTGACGAGGGAACCTCTGAACGCGAGGACGGCGGCCCTGGACACGATGGATAAGAAGATGCAGCTTAGCCCATTGATGACGCGGTTAATCTACGAAGTTCGCGGACACAAGATACCGGCGGTAAGTTTCCAAGTCGAAGGCTCTCACATGAAGGAACCTCGTTCGGTGATCGCTGACTTATGACCTTGGTACAGGTTCTAAGGTCTAACGAGGAATGGTATGTACGGCAAGGATATGAAGTAGTGTGTAGAAAGGAGGTCGGATACACTTGGAACCCGCCAGACCCCTCCTTGCCGCAGGTAACTATCCCTCAGGTCTTCTTGAAGAAGTCGTTGGTGTAATGGGCAGGCGGCTGGCGTGTAAGTGGACGCGAGTGGTGAAGGGTCGGAAGGTTCCGGGGCATGTCGTCCGATACCATGGTTCTGCAACTTACACGGACATCCGTCTTGGAAAAACGGCTTCAATGTGGTCAGTAGAGGAGTGCGTCGATGAAATAGTCTGTGCCATATAATGTCACATCGAAGCCAAACGGTCGTGCATTCGTGGGGAAAAGGATTCTGTTCGCCTTGTCACCCCTCTCCCATACTGCTGCGTTGCCATTCTCTGATCGCTCCAGGGTGTCCATGAGTTGGACTGGAGTGGTTGGCATGGACCGATATCAAGTGGCGACTCCGTTGATAGGTTGAAGCCCGCAGGATGTCAAAGGTTGGGCTCCAAGGGGGAGCAGTTAAGGAGGGTTGTATGCATGGGGACGGTTGGGTCCAGATTCGTCAATTGGGCGGTTTTCTAAGTCGGTGATGCAGAAACAAATCATCAAGCAGGATTCAGATCCGTAGTTAAGTCGGCATTAGTATTAAGAGTCGAGGCGACGTTTGAAGCCATGTAACTCAGTCATCTATTCGATGTAACGACAATGAGGCGACTTTGGAGGGATGGATCGATGGAGGGTGTCGGATGAGATATTTGATCCGTCGGTGAGAGGTTATCGTGGTTGATATTGACCCGGGTCCGCCTTTCACCCAAGACATGGAGCGGCATTTTGGCGGCAAGCTGCGGGAATTAGAACTGTCAAGTCCCACGCATACATTGATCAATTCCAATTGGCTTCGGAGAGACATTTTGTCGAACAATCGTGCTAACATTGATTGAACTTGAAGTCGGTGAATCACCTTGAAACGTATTAGTGGAGCCGCACAGCATGGGCGCGCTGCAGGGCGCTGTGTAAGCCGCTAATCATGCACAGGATTTTAACCACTGATCCGCTGTGCGGCAACAGCCCCCCACTAAGGAGACACTAAACAGCCAGTTCTAGGGGCTACTGGACGTCCAAATTCAGACCAGTGTCGTTTCGTTCAATGCTGACAATTGACAGCTGGCAGAGCGCTGCAGGCTCAAATTACTCATGCAGGCCTTGCCTGTCGTGCCCCCACCCACTCTACCCCGATGACCTCGATCCACCACTCACACCAAAACGCACCCAGACGGCGCGGCTCTGGGGCCCGACAAAAAAGTAAGCCGCTACGGTCCAGTGCACCTGCCTTACCTTGACGCGATGGCGCCCAATGTCAACGTCCTGCTCCAACGTCTCAACGTCCGACGTCCCTCAGTTCAAATTGTTCCCACTTCTTCCACTTCGTGCAGGCTTCACTACTTCTCAGCCCACTCTGCCAATGACCATTCCCATTGCTTGCCCCAATACCCTGCATATCGGGCCGGCTCCCATTGGTTTCTACCTCGACATTAAAGGGTCTTTGCTTCCTTCTGCTTCTCTCCAGTTGTCGCAACCCAACCAGCCATTTCGCCCCCCTTTTCCTCTTCTCCAATTCTCTTGTTGACCGAGTGACTCTCGATTCGCAGGCACCAAGCTAGGGTGCCAGTGGAGACGTCGACATCTGCCTTGACAAGTCATGGTATTTACTCTCCTCCACACCCAGATACCACCGTCTTTTGTTTGTTGTCGTGGTTTGCTTTGCGTTTCCCGCACTTTCGACTCGATAAGACGAAGAAAGACCACGCAAATCAAACCTTGCCAAAAAGGTCCTGTCCGCGGATAGCTGCATCCTTCTCCACTACGAGACGCCGTTTTCTTCGTCGGACGCGTAAAACGAGTCGCAGAGCACTGGGAAAACGCAAAAAGAAAATTACCTCTACTCAACTTGTCAACAACCGAAAGAGCAACAATCAATGAACGAGATTGACGGAACAAGGAAATGACAACCCCGATGCTCGAACGAAAACACACCTAGGACATCTCGCATCATTATTCCTGCCTGACGTGTAGCGACTAGACTTGCCAAACAAGGTCTCCTCCTCCGCTGACATCGAAAGCAGACTCGGCGTCAACCCATTGAAACGGGTGCCTCCGCGAATTGCTCAAGCTCCTTCCTTATTTTTCATGCCCCCTTCGTCCCGCATCCGCCCACTCAGCAGTATCCTATGTGCCCTCCAACCTCGACCAAGTAAGCGACGAGCTTCCGCTGCTAGCTCAGGGACTACAACCTACGACTCTACCCACTCAGAGACTGCCACGGCCACCCCGCCAGCCACTGTCTCTGTCGCTGAGGCTTCTACGAGCTCGGATAGCTCCATTGGTGGCTCCTCCCATGCGATGCCTATAGCCACTTCGTTCGATACCCCGAATATCCCCACAATGCATGCCTATGCTCGGGCCAATGGCCCCGAAGTCTCCTCCAATGGCGTCCCCGTGTCTGGTGGTAGAGGCACCAATCGCGCTGATACACCCCAGGTTTTTAGCTCCCGCCAGGCCGTCGTCGATGGAGCTAGACTTCCCCTCCCCGTATCCAAGCCGACACGTTTCGGCTCTGTGAACCACCACCAGATGACCCGAAGCCATTCTGGTACGAACCACTCTCCTCCGCAGCCTCACGGCGCCTCCCCTCCCATGAGACGTGCCAGGACAAACTCCAACGACCGTGTAGGCGGAGGAGGTCCTGCCACGTTGTGGGCTCCCTCCGTCTTGTCCGACTCTGAATTCAATTCGCCCACGAGCGAGCTTGATCCTAATCGCAATGGCCGCCTCCAACCACCCAAGGAAGAGATGCACCAAGCTCTGGCGCCTCCCCCCGCGTGGAACCCCCACCAGAGCTCTCACTTCTCTGAGTTTATAATAGGGAATGATGGAATGATGAAAGTGAGACCGATCCCCAACGACCAGCAACAGCAGCCACAGCAGCAACCGCAACAACACCACCTTCACCACATTAGCAACCACATACCCGAGAACCCTTTCGAGTCGCCCCCCCTTGAATCCCAAGGCCCGCCTCAACAGCAACAGCATAACAAGCTCCCCGTCAGAGAGGCGCTTGGCCGAGGGTCTTACGCGGGCCACCCAGTGAACCAACTTATCGACGAAGACGAAATGATGGGAGCCGTGCCGTCCTCCTTTGAGAATCCCCGCCGTGTACCTGATAGGCCCAGGCACGAGCCGTCCAACCGCGCTTCACCCATCTTTTCGGACGAGGACGAGTATGAACGAATTGAAGCAGCAAATCAAATCACGCCGCGTGCCAAGGATAAGAAACCGCCCAGGAAGCTTCTCGAGAGCTCTCTTCCTCCTTATACTACCACCAGAGATGATCGCGGGAGAAAACGACGCCGAAACAGTTGCGATTATGACGACAATGCCCTCTCATCTATGAAATTCTCCGAGCTCCGGAAGCAACCCTTCGATTATGACCCCTCGGCAGAAACCCCCCCGCCACTTTCCCGAGGTCTGGAAGGCGATAGCCTCACGGGAAAGCTCGAGTACTATAAAAAGAAACCGGAAGCCGACCAGAAGACCTTTTTCACCCAAATGTCGGTAACAGACTGGGAGCGGTCTGGCGACTGGTTCCTGGAGCAGTTCGGCTCTCTCATACAACAGATGAAGGAAAACAGGCAGCAGAGACGAGCGGTCGTCGATAAGTACGAGCGAGAAATTGCCAATCGGGAAGAGTCGGTCCGGCTTAAGACTGAGTCTATTCACAAGAAGCTCGATAAGATGAAGCAGAACGGTCTGAGAGTCGTGGCTGACGGCGAAGATTGAGTGGTAGCTTGTCAAGACTGGAAAGCTCCAAGGCTTTGCTTTAAACCAGTACGCAACTCGACAGTTTTCGGCCCGCCTCAAAACCCTGGACGCTTTGGCGAATCCTTTTATTTTTTATCCATCTCATGAATTCGTCTTTCTCTACATTGCCTTGTTCATCATTCCAAAAGAAGCATTTCCTAAGCGGGATCTCACGAGCGTTTTCGTCGAGGCTATCTCCTTTTCCCTATTTCTCGGGTTGCGAATTTGTATTGTGTGTATTATGATGGCATTATTTCACGACTGATGATCAAGCCAAACTCGGGCACATTTTCCTGGCCCCGCATGTTTCATGACGGTTGTTTTACCTCACAGAAGAGGCTCTTTGCCTCGCATGTGTGCTTATGAAGTACTATTGATCTTGTCTTTCTTCGTCGCAATCATCTCCGCTTTGTTTTTTTTTCCTTTTTTTTTTTTTTTTCCTTCTGTTTTCTCTTTTCTTCCTTTTCCCTCGTCTTAAGCTGAGAGAACAGTCAGCGACCAGAAAGGGCAATACAGGACCGCTATGAGCTTAGAGAAGGAGAGGCTACAACCGATATGGGAAAATTGAGGTAACGAGGAATACGACCATTTACCAAAGGGGACATGGCTTGCCAGGTTCGAGACGGAGGGACGAAGTGATATCGAATCTGATGTACTACTTTCTACTCTTAAACGGCTTGCGCTTGCTTGCCCCCTTTTAACTCTCTATTTATACTTCTCACGGGCTATGCTTGCCAGCATCTCTTTTCAAAACAACTAATGCATGAACAGAATAATAAATGAGAAAGAGAGAATAAAAAAAAAGAATAAATTGTGTTGCTACTATTAAATGATTTGTACTTCTTTTACCTTTCTATCCCTCCCTACGATGAGCCGTAGCTGATGTTTAGGCTTATCCGGGAGCACCCCAGCCCTGACACCATCGCAGTAGAGCTCGTAGGCGGGATAATACGCATCGACGAACTTGACGACCTCTTCATCCGTCATTCCAGTGCCCCTTTCAGCTCTTAAGGCGACCTCCTGCTCCCGACGCCAAGCATACACGTACGACAGGTCCTCGGCATCGACATGGATAAAGCCGTCCAACAGGTCCGTTAGAGCATCATAACCGCGTAGTTGATCATTGACGTAAGCGAGATCCTCGAGAGCGTGATTCTTCAGCGTGAGGCTCTGCCCTTCCCACTTCTGCTTCAGGACGTCCGGCGTGATGCTGCGAAAGCCGACACACCATCCTTCCAAGATGACCAGGCGGATCTTCTCCTCGCCGGGGGCATTTACGACGGGCCACTCGGAGACGGGGCGACGGTCACCGCGGCCCTCGAAAGCGGCCTTGTCGTAGGAGGGGATGCGAGTCTCGCGGCCTTCGAGGAGGGACTCGAAGACGGAGCGGGCGAGGTCGACGTCGTGAGTTCCCGGCTCGCCGCGGTGTTGGAGGAGGGCGTTGGACGGGTGGGAGGTCGCTAGGGCCCGTTGGTCGGCATGGGTGAGGTAGAAGTCGTCGATGGAGAGGACGAGGGTCGGGATGTTTGAGGGACCCGAGGAGAGGGTTTCGGACAGGGTTGTTACGAGGGTTGTTTTGCCCACGCCTTGGAGACCGTTGAGGCCTATGATGAGGGGCCGCGAGGAGGTGTTGTGGGTTTGGAGGAGGTTGAGGATGAAGCTTATACAAGTTGGGGATTTGTCGTCCGTGAAGGACGGCGGGGCAGGAGCGGTGGACATGGTTGATTCCGGCGGTTTTGGGGGCCGAGGTGGTGAGTAGAATCTATGGGGGTTTGGTGCCGGGACGGCGAGGCGGGGGAGGTTCCGGAGGAGGGAGGGATGTTTTGTGAGCGGATGTCGGAGTGATGCGTTGGGATGGGGGAGCCGACCCCGCCAGGCCGAGGACCGGCATAGATGCTTTGCACGAGAGACGCTGGGGTTACAGATGCGGGGCATTTTTGGTGGTTGACGAGAATTAGTACGAAGTGATAGTGTAGTTTACATGGCTCCGATCCGGGGAGTTTACGGTTCTTGCGGCTGGGCTGGGAAAATCGGCAGTTCGTGATTGCAGCTGACGAGCACCACGGCGCAAATCGTGTTGCCTTCACAAATAGAGCACCCATTGCAGTCTGCTATAGAACGGACTGGGGAGAAACATTGAAGACTGTATTAGCATTAGCTGGTCAAGCTGGCATCGATGTAGTTACTAAAACAACACAAACGAATAAAGAAATAAAATAAAATAAATAAATAAAAATCGCAGCCAAATAATTACTCGGCAGCTGGGTATATGTAAGAGTCCTGATGGGATCGTGTGCTTGCTTCTCCAACGACGTAAATCCGTCGATACTCGGGAATTGCGTACTTTTTAAACACATTGATCAATTGATTTGAAATGGGCAGCTCCATCCCGTGATCCATTCTGCCATCTGTTCCACTGTTCGAATTTCCCGATCTTCTATTCCCTCTCCCGTTGCCGTCCTCTTGCTCCTTTCGCTCCTTAGTCATCCCGAGGTTCGATTCATGTGAGCCGAGATGGAGAAGGAGCACTTTCGATCGAATCCCTCACATACTTTTTTTTTCACTTTCTCCCTCCATGACCTCATCGGGCTAGGGAGGAACAGGGTTACACTAATTGTGGGTTAGTTTGCATGTGAAGGCAGCCCATCGAACCCATCGAACGACCAATCGGGCATGGGGCGAGATGGGGGTTTAGAATGAACCTCGGCATGCTCATGGGACGGGACATGCTTTGGGGATGCCGATTCAGGCTGCTGTGGGGTTTCGTCCTGTTACCCCGTATTATTGTGGTTTAGGTGTACGAGGCACAGCTGTGCTACTGGGCAGGTAATATTGGAGACCTGCGCATGTCGAACAATGGGCGAGGTAGCTCGGCTTCTGGACTCGGGGAGCAAGCAGCTTCGTTGGACCAGCGCGGGGCTGGCCTGGCCGGATCTGGCTGGAGTAGGCTAAGTGCAGCAGGAATGTTGGAGAATTTGTGGGGGGCAATCCGTCTCGAAGCTCTGGGAATAGCACCTGATTCCTCCAGGTTTGCTGGGACGTTGATACTGACTGCTGCTGTATTGAGCAGGGCATGGCTGCATTATCTCCGTACGGAGTACTGTAGTATTGTACACTAGTAGTAATTGATGCGTATTGTCTCTGCTCTGAATGTACACTCGATAGCGTAGCGCAGTGCTAAAGTGACCTCTGCCACCCCGGATGGCTGGCTGCCTTTACTGGGCAGGTCTCGGCCGCACCCCTCCAAGTCGAGACGTCTGGTGCTGTGGAGTAACGCCGCGCACTGGCAACGGAGCTTAGGTCGTGCAGTCTGTTGCTGGTGGCATCAGCATTTGCCGAGGAGCCCGTCAAATTGAGTACTTTGGTCAACTGGAATTATCTGGTATATTATCACCTATCCTCCTCCCCTCGTGCTCCGGAAGTCTATAACCTCATTCTCTCCTGCCACCTTTTCTCTCACGATATCCCTCTCCTCAAATCTAGATTCCTCATTTTTTTTTTCTCTCTTGTTTCTTTTTCCTTCTTCTGCGTGAAACATCCCACGCCCGTGCTTTGCTCTAATTCGCATTGACCGAGCTGCTCTCTCTCCCCCCCACCACACACATTCCACAACCACAATGTCCGCGGATCTAAGGTTTGACGGCCAGGTCGTCGTCGTGACCGGTGCTGGCGGTGGCCTCGGCAAGGCCTACGCTACCTTCTTCGCCTCTCGAGGAGCCAGCGTCGTCGTCAACGACTTGGGCGGTTCTTTCAAGGGTGAGGGCAACTCTTCAAAGGTATGGTGATAGCTAGACTATCTCCCTCTCTCTCTGAGCCCATGTACCGTGTACCATGTGCTCCCATGTGCCGAGGCATCCCGCCACGACAACCAATTCTGCCCCTCTCCACCACCCCGTTTCAGGAGAGCTCCGTAACTAACTTGGACGCTTTCCCGTGTGTTTTGTAGGCTGCCGATGTTGTTGTCAACGAGATCAAGGCTGCCGGCGGCAAGGCCGTTGCCAACTACGATTCCGTCGAGAACGGCGAGCGCATCATCGAGACCGCCATCAAGGCTTTCGGCCGCGTCGACGTGTTGATCAACAACGCCGGTATCCTCCGCGATATCAGCTTCAAGAACATCAAGGATGAGGACTGGGACCTCATCATCAAGGTCCACGTCAAGGGCTCCTACAAGTGCGCCAAGGCTGCTTGGCCCTACTTCAGGAAGCAGAAGTATGGCAGGGTCATCAACACTGCCTCTGCTGCCGGTCTCTTTGGCAGCTTCGGCCAGACCAACTACTCTGGTAAGTAGAACCAGCTAAGCAGCCCAGTTTTTCGTGCATTCGCGCCAACCAGAAGCGTAAAACTAACGCAAGAACATCGCAGCTGCCAAGCTCGGTCTCGTCGGTTTCACTGAGACCCTTGCCAAGGAGGGCATCAAGTACAACATTCTCGCCAACGCCATTGCTCCCATTGGTTAGTGCTCCTTTCGCTACGGTCCCGTTCCTCGCCAGGCTGCCAAAGAACAGCAGAGCTAACTAGCATGATCAATAGCTGCCAGCCGCATGACCGAGACTGTTATGCCTCCCGATGTGCTCCAGAACCTCAAGCCCGACTGGGTTGTTCCCATCGTCGCCTGCCTCGTCCACCCCTCCAACACCACCGAGACCGGCTCCATCTTCGAGGCTGGCGCCGGCCACGTCGCCAAGCTCAGGTGGGAGCGATCCAGCGGTCTTCTTCTCCGCCCCGATGAGACCTACACCCCCGGTGCCATCCTTAAGCAGTGGAACAAGGTCACCGACTTCTCCAACCCCCAGCACCCCACCGGCCCTAACGACTTCCTCACCCTCCTCGAGGATGCCGTGAAGCTCGGACCCAGCCCTGCCGGTGAGAAGCTCGACTTCACCGGCCGTGTCGCCCTCATTACTGGAGGTGGCGCTGGGTAAGTGACATAAGAATTCAACTCTTCTCTATTATTGGAATATCCTTGAGCTAACAGTCGCCTCCTTAGTATCGGTCGTGCCTACGCCTTGGCCTTCGCCAAGCACGGTGCTTCCGTCGTTGTCAACGATCTCGTCAACCCCGACGATGTCGTCAACGAGATCAAGAAGCTCGGTGGCAAGGCCGCTGGTGTCAAGGCCTCTGCTGAGGACGGTGAGGCCGTCGTCAAGGGCGCCATCGACGCCTTCGGCCGCATTGACATCGTTGTCAACAACGCCGGTATCCTCCGTGACAAGGCCTTCACCAACATGACTGATGACCTCTGGGACCCCGTCATCAACGTTCACCTCCGTGGTACCTACAAGGTTACCAAGGCCGCTTGGCCCTACTTCCTTAAGCAGAAGTATGGTCGTGTCATCAACACCACCTCTACCAGCGGTATCTACGGTAACTTCGGACAGGCCAACTACGCCGCTGCTGTAAGTAGACCGTCAAAGAAAACCACTTTAGCAGATTCCTCCGTCCGTGACATCTTACTGACAGCACTCACAGAAAGCCGGTATCCTTGGTTTCTCCAGGGCGCTCGCTCTTGAGGGCGCCAAGTACAACATCTACGTCAACACCATTGCCCCCAACGCCGGTACCGCCATGACCAAGACCATTCTCCCCGAGGAGCTCGTCCAGGCCTTCAAGCCCGACTACATCGCGCCCTTGGTCCTCGCCCTCGCCAGCGACAAGGTCCCCAACCCCACCGGTGGCCTCTACGAGGTCGGCAGCGGTTGGTGCGGCCAGACCAGGTGGCAGCGAACCGGCGGACACGGCTTCCCCGTCGACGTCACCCTGACCCCCGAGGAGGTCCTCAAGTACTGGAAGGACATTGTCACCTTTGACGAGAGGGCGGACCACCCCGAGAAGGGCCAGGATGGCTTGAAGAAGATCATGGCCAACATGGAGAACAAGAAGAACAAGGTATGAGGAAATTCTTATTTAGTCCTAATACCTCTCATGACTTCATGATTTTTCTCTTTTTATTTTTTTCTTATCTTTTGTACATATGTAAAAATAGAAAGTTCTTGATTGACGTTTCATTTATTAAACTCTTCGCTTTTATCGTAGGCCGGCTCTGGCGACAATCAGTACCTTAAGGCCATCGCAGAGGCCAAGCAGGCCAAGGCCAAGGGCACCGAGTTCACGTACGAGGAGCGCGACGTAATGCTCTACAACTTGGGCATCGGCTCCAAGCGCACCGATCTTAAATATGTCTAGTAAGTTTTTCATGAGCGACTTTTCAAAATCCGCTGAAAATGAGCATTTGATATGTGTCTTCGCGGTGCTCAATTTGATCGTAGCATGCTGACCACTCCCACCTACGTACAGTGAGGGTTCCGAGGACTTCCAGGCCCTCCCCACCTTCGGTGTCATTCCCCCCTTCAACGCCGAATCCCCCTACAACCTCGATGACCTCGTGCCCAACTTCTCGCCCATGATGCTCCTGCACGGCGAGCAGTTCCTCGAGATCAAGAAGTACCCCATCCCCACCTCAGGCACCCTCGTCTCGTACCCCAGGCTCCTCGAGGTTGTCGACAAGGGCGCCGCCGCTATCGTCAGGACGGGCATCACCACCGTCAACAAGGCCACGGGTGAGGACGTATTCTACAACGAGATGACCGTCTTCCTCCGAGGCTGCGGAGGCTTCGGCGGGCCCAAGAAGGCCGAGGATAGGGGCGCCAGCACGGCGGCGAACGCGCCGCCTAAGAGGTCGCCTGACGCTGTTGTTGAGGAGAAGACTACCGAGGAGCAGGCTGCCATTTACAGGCTGAGCGGAGATTACAAGTGAGTTTTCTAGTTCTTCGCTGGGCGTGGTGTTTGAACGCTTGCTAATACGCATATGATAGCCCTCTGCACATTGACCCTGGTTTCGCCAAGATGGGCGGATTCAAGGTCCCTATCCTTCACGGTCTTTGCTTCTTCGGCATTGCTGGAAAGGCTGTCTACGAGCGGTATGTTCCCCCCCCCCTTTTCCCCTTCGCCCTTCCGTTTATGATTGATTCATTTGAGATACTAAACCCTTCTCCTTTTACAGATTCGGCCAGTTCAAGAACATCAAGGTCCGCTTCGCCGGCACCGTCCTCCCCGGCCAGACCGTCGTGACGGAGATGTGGAAAGAGGGCAACAAGGTCATCTTCCAGACCAAGGTCAAAGAGACTGGAAAACTTGCCATTGGAGGTGCCGCTGTTGAGCTCGTTTAATTGGGGCCAGTATTGAAGGAGTTTATGTTGATGGTTGGTATGAGAAATTGTACTTTTGTAACATTAGAACATTGTTGTATTTGAAAATGACCCTTTCTAAGTTAAACGTTTCATTACTTTTTTTTCTCTTTATTTATTAGAGAGAAGTTTGGTCTGTATAAAAGACCTCGGTGCTAGTTTTCAAAGAGGCGAGTTCTCAATTCTTGAGGGTATAAACAGTATGCAAGTTTGTAGAACCATTAACACACCTTACAAACCCCATCTTCATGATAAGAGGCAGAAGCGATATATAGAAAAATGAAACCAGAAGAAAAGTGGTGAGATGAATTCTCTTCAAGTTGTCCGACCTTGGATGCAAAATGCCCTGCTTCTGATTCGAGTGTCTCTCGCTGTGTGTGTGTATTCCTCATCCTCCATGCGTTCTTCTTCCGTCTTTTGCCACTATAAATGCCACCACCTTGATTTATGCGTCTTGAGACCATGGTTCTTAGCCGTTCCTCGTAAAGACTGAAAAAGGAAAAAAAGAGAGAAAAAAAAATGAAAGTAGTGATTACAAAAAGAATATGCCAGCCAACAGAGGAGCAATAATAAAAAAAAAAGAGGAAACGGAAGAAAGGAACGAATTAATAAAACATCGTCTCGAGAACCGTATCCAGAAACTCCGGCAACGAAGGAACCCTCCTCCGAGCAAGCAGCATCTCCACGCCACCCTCCTCCCCACTCCCCGCAAACCCCGTCTCCAAAAACGCCCTCTCCGCCCCCGAAAGCACCTTCTTCTCCCTCTCCATCCACTTCCTCTCAGCGTCCTCCTTCGCCTTGCGCAGTAACATCTCCGTATCGTCCGCCTCCCAGAGATTACACCGCGTACACTCGTCGCAGCGACGCGGGTCCCCATCGGGCCGGAAGTGGTCGCAGAAGTGGCGGTACCCTTCCTCTCCGATGTCTTTGCGGCAGACGTAGCACATCTTGTAGCCGCAGGGGCACCGGAGCTTGTTGCAGCCGGCGTTTTTCACGAAGGAGGTGTTGCACCGGGGGCAGACGCGCTTGACGGCCATGCTCATGGCCTGCTCGACCTGCGTGCGTAGGGAGACGAGACTAGATTCGTTGCATACGTGGATGTCGGTCCAGGATTTGGAGCAGGAGAGGCACGAGGAGCGGGCGCAGGCGGGGTTGCGGCAGGTGAATTTGGGCCCGCGACGGCGACGGGAGCGGCGTTGGAGGGCTGCTTGCCATTGGGAGGAGAGATAGGGGCCCGGAGGGTTCTTAATGCTCAGGACGATGCAGATGAGGGTGGATAGGATGAAGAGCGGCACGAAAAGGGGTAGGGTGGTGGCGCAGATGAGGATGATGATGACGTTGATGACTCGGTTGGGACGGAGGGTTAGGGACCGAGAATTTTCGGGGAGGTAGATGTCGTCGACTTCGGCGTAGCTGCAAAACGGGCAGCGGATGAGGGGGAACTGGGAGGCGACTAGGCTCTGCTCGGCGAGGCGCTGGTCGAATTTGTGCAGGATGTCGGCGCCCTTGGGCATGTCGAGCAGGGCGCGGTGGAGGTGGTCCGCGGTGATGCGCCCCTTGCATTCTTCGCCGTCCACCGCCATGCATTTCAGCGTGCCTGTCGACTCATCGATGCTGTGCCATCCTTGGCCGAAGACGGCTTCGGAGAGGGAGTGCTGCACGCATTTGTAGCAGAGTAGATGCCCCGCTGCGCTGCAGCTCGTGAACTCCTCGAAGGCGCCGTCGGTGAAGCAGCAGCAGCACTCGTGCGTTGCGTCGGTTTCCGCCGCCTCCTCGTTATTTAAGTACTGCGCTAGCTCCTTGTCCTTGTCCTCCTGCTGCTGCTTGGCCTTTTCCTTCAAGGGTCTAATCAGAGCATCGTATAGTTCCCTATCCAGCTCGGCGTTGCCCGTCGTCTTGATCGTCGGTATGATAGACCCCCTGCCTGTCGACCTCCAGATTACCAGGGGATGATTCTGCGCCTCGGCAGAGGTCACGGGTTTCCTCCTAAAAAACAAAGACGATATCGCAAACCTCCACGACCGAGATGAGAGCTCCGTCAGCGTGCGCCGCGCATCTAGGTAGGTATAGTTCGATTCCGCCAGCACACCATGGACGGTAGATTTCGAAAGCCCCTTGAACTCGTGCCACGCCAGCGCCTTCACAGCATCCTTATAAGCGGGAGTCCGAAACGTCTCCGAAGCTGGCACCGAGGCAGACTCGTCCCCGTCTCGCCGTCTCACTACCACCTTATTCTCTTTGCCGCCCTCGGCCTCGGCCACCTTCCAGCGGCCCTTGACCCACGTAACGCGATTCTTCAGCAGCGCATCAGCCACGAGCGCCAACCTCGACTCGCCGTCGAAACTGGCCAGCATCTCCCTAAACACCTCGATCTGTATATTCGGAAACACGGCCGCCAGGGCCTCGAGGCTGTTGTTCAGCTCGCGCAGATCCGGGCCCTCGTCAGGGACGTCCTGGAGCTGGGACTCATCGTGGATGTATTCGGACGGCACGGCGGGATCGTCGCTGTTTGGGGAGTTACGAGTCGCGGACGGGGACCGGGTGCTCGAGGACTTGGGGGACTTGGAGGGTTGCGGGGATTTTAGCTTCGGGTTGTTGGATCGATCGCCAAGGAGACCGGAGAGGACCATCGTTGCTGTGCGCGATGGCAGTTCATTCTTTCCTTGGCCGTAGGTAGTTGCCTCTCTTCTTCGTTCGTTATTCGCGAGAGAGGGGGAAACGTAGTCGTCGCGAGATGATAGAAAGGGAGACCATTTGCTAAAATATGTTCGAAACGGCGGAGGGGGTGCCCTAAAAAAAAAAAAAGGAAATACGAGAGACGGAGTTGAGGGGCTTCGTGGCTAGTATCACGAGATTGGGCTTGATGCTCGAAATTCCGTTGATAATAGTTCTTGGCTTGACGTGGGTTGTAACTTGTCTTGAACCGGGTTTAGGAGAAGGCACGCCACGCGCCTGTGCCCGCAGCATACATTACGTGTACCCTTCGTATTTCAAGAGCGCTGATTGCTCACCGAAGGCAAAAAGAGGAGCCTGAACCAAGAAACTTGCAGCCTGTACAATTCTAAAAGGAGGAGATGGCGTGGGGCGGGAGTGCTGAATTTATTAGTCAGAAGCTTCGCAAACTGTGCTCAGCGGCAGCTGGCGACAGTGCCCTTTAGGGTTTCGGCTTTCCCCTTCAGAAAAGCGGGCGCTGTCATAATTTGAAATTCCACCTCCACGAAGTAATTATCAGCGCTCCACTATTAGGGTGGGACTCCCCAGGCAGAGGAAGCGTCGAATCTCACAACGGCGAAGCTGCATCTGCTGGGCCAGGCCCACTGCGGAGGAGCCCCACGAGGAAGCGCGAAGTCTGATAATTGATTTGATGCCCCATACCCGCAGGCACAAGATGACTTGGGGCAATCAACCCGTACTACGGTGCCTCAGTCCGGCAGTTGTTCGACGGGTCTAGAAGGTAGTTTCACCATCAACCAGGCTAGGATTACACCGAGGGCAGGTCTGCAACGGAGCCAAGTGGTTGAGACGCGGTCTGGTACTATAGGAATTACATGGAATTACATGGAAAAGGCATCCCGCTTGTGGCTCAAGTCTCACCTGCCCGAGACATATCGTCTCTTTAGGCAAGATGCCGCACACAAAATATAACACCAGGTTAACTAAATCAAGGAAGGAAGCGAGAGCAAATCAGATGGGTATTAGAAACAAAACTAATGTCGATCAACTATGGTAGAGGAGGGGGGAAACGTCCAAGACAGATCAGCCAGATTCAAGACATCACCCGCTTTCTAGCCAAATGGGACAGATCAAGGGCTGGCCAGATACACAGCAGGACTACATATAAGAGCCTTTCTCCTTCTCACCCATCATCCTGACTCGTCGAAAGAAAAAAAAAAAAAAGTTTTCCATTTTCGAAAGAACTCAGGCCAACCCTTCCTTCCATAACAAAACATAAAATCCACAAATGTGCCAACTAAAACGAAAATTTGGGGGAATCGTTCCGAAGAGAAGAAAGAAGTAATAGACTCGAAAGAAGAAAAAGGGGTATGACCACAAAAAAGAATAGAGTCTAATGGAGAAGAAGATCGAAAATCAGAAAATCCCAACGACAAGAAAAAAGATGCAAAGTATGAGGGTGTATCATTTCAAGGAGAACGAGAGGAAAAAAAATGCACTCCTGGCGCGCAACACTCCAAACACCTTCCCTTTCCCGCTTGACCATCCAACGTTTCCCACGCCTTTTTCTTCTTTTTCTTCTCTTGACAAACTGCCTCCCCTCGTTCCAGCCGATCAATCATCGTGAGGGTCGTTAACAAAGGGTAATCGTTCGTGGCACGCTATTAATTGATGCAGGATAGTTCGGGGTATCATGAGGGAGCCTCCCAGAGGACCAGGTTAACAGTGCAAACCAACACTATTCACCCAAGTCTTGCCGTCCATAATCGCAGCTCCAGATGGAGCGAATTTCGCTCCTGGCGGTAGAATGGTGCGAGAGAGCTTAGAAGAGAGCGGCGAAGGCACCGACCAGGAAGAGGGCTGCAGCAGTGGCGGGGACCAAGGAAGCGGCACCGCTCTCGGGGGGAACCTGCGAGGGAATAGTAGAGGGCGTGGTACCCGTGCGGGTGGTGGACGCGCCGGCCGAAGAAGTGCCGTTGATAGGGGCCTTGGTAGAGCTGGGGACGAAAGTGGTGGTCGAGTTGAACGAGCCGGTGGTGGTAGCGGGCTCGGTAGGCTCAGCAGAGGACTCAGTCTCAGTCGCAGTCTCAGTGGTCGAGGGGACGGGCGGGTCCGACGTCAAGGCACCGTTGGCCTTGTTGAGCGTGGCGCACTCCTCGAGAGAAGAACCCTCAGCGCAGCAGACGGTGCTCTTGCTGACGTCGTGGGCGCAGAAGTAGCCGGCGTTGCACGAAGCTTTCGTTACGCGAATGTTAGTATGTCGACATCATTTCTACAGCCCACGAGGCTCATGGGATGGAGGGTCGTTCAAGGAAGGATGATGAAGGAAAAAAAGCGGACGACAAGATTCGACAGAGAAACCTACATCCAAGACCGAGGAACGTGCAGCAGGTCTCTCCTGCGGCGGGGTTGAAGCAGTGGTTCTCAGAAGCAGACGACTCGCACTGCTCATAACCAGCACCGCAGGCCTCGGCGCAGGTGTTGCCCTCACCACACTCGAGGAGCTCGGGCTCGTAGGCGCCATCGTCCTCTCTACGGGCGAGACGACCGAGCTGGGCGGGAGCGGCCCTGGTGAACCTGACGTTGTCGGCGGCGACAGTGGCGGCGAGGGCCAAAACGGCAGCGGCGGTGACCTTCATCTTTGCTGTCCTTGAATTATCCTTCTTTTCTTGTCTTGAAATGTCGGATTTTAGGAAATTCGACTCGAATTTGAGGGATTCGGTGTTGTTTGGACGTGAGTTTATTGCACAGGTTCAAACGGCGACGACAAACGAGCGGAAATAAACAATCGAAAGACGCGAGAGATGTCAAAGGAAATCCCTTTTCGGCAATTTTTGGGGTTAAAAGAGTGAACGCAGTTTGAAGTCTGCAACTTGAGAAGGAGCGTTGTGTGAAGTCGTCACGACAACAAGATTACTGTAAGTTTAGGGGTGAGGTTGGGATGGAAGGAAGGAAGGGGGGAAACGGCAACAACACACGATGGGTCCTAATTACACATTAAAGTAAAATACCTGGGCTTGGACTTGGCTTTCTCAAAATTGGGGGGGCGACAGAGCACACACCACTCGAGCGACCAGGGTTGCATCGACCGCAATCTTACGGATAGACTCAATAAGGACGCTACATGCTACATCCCAGCCGAAATCGCGAGCAACCTGGGAACCAGGGGCAGCGCAGGGCGCCATTGGTATGAAGCAAAGTGGTCCTGCCGCCGTTGCGGCCAGGAACAGCAGGGAACAGCAGGAACAGCGCACACACACACATGGGCACAAGTCAGGCACAGGTGCAGGAACCCACCCAGACTGACAGACTGACAGCTAGCGTGCATAATTTTGATTAGTCTACTTGTACTGAATACTTTTGAAACCAACGGACTCAACGCTAGAACCGAGGTATTCTCAACATGCATAATAGATGGGCATCCACTTGTACACTCTTTGAATAACCTACCGAGATTACAATTCGACAATGTACACAAGGAAGTAGCCTCCCTTGCCAGATCATCGTCGCATCTCTTGGAATGGTGAAAATTTTGCAGCGACACATGGGGCAAGCTGCACGAAGTATTACTCTACTTCGTAGTCTATTCTAACTTGCTTCGCAGACACCATCTGCAAACCACGCGGCAGGATTTCGTGGGATGACATGTTTCGAAAATCCGCGCATCCGCACCCGCCTTCAATCGGGAGATCAAATCTGATGGTAGTGTACGGAGTAGAGAACCGGGCGCGAAAGGTCTTTCTTTCCCTTCCGACTTCTCCTTTCCTTTCCGTTTACTTTCGTGCGACACCATGTTTGATTTTTTTTTTTTTTTTTCGCGAACGGGCATTGACTTTCCTTAACCGAATGACACAGAACATGGACATGGGGGAAGGGAGGAACATTGAAGTATCGGTCAGAGACTCAGAGCCTATGGAGAGGTGCAGATTTCCTGGCTCACTTTAACTCTTCTCCTCCAACTCAAACGGGACTAGCACAGGCGACAGTCGACAGAGACGGAAATGAGCAATCCCCATCACAAGATGAGATTGGCCCATTTCGGACAAAGCGTCAAGAGAGCGTCCGAATGGAAACCTCCCACGACAACGATGAAGAACCGTTAGGTACCTTGCAGTTTAAGTCGCATTCTTAGCACCTCGTCGAATGCTGTGCTGTCGCCGATCGGCTCCTATCGCCTGTTCTTAGCCAATCAAAGCTGCACTGAGCCATCTCTCGAGGCGCAGAGGACGGGGCGCTGTTGAGGGATTCGTTGGATTCGGTTGAGTCTCAGGTTGCTTGACAAGCGACAACTCAGAATAGCGCAGGAACGGCGGCTCATCGACTCAAATCCCTATTTTTACCCCAGAAATTAGAAGTAAGACATGCATCTTCAACAACAACGGCTTTCTGTCCATCGAAACAGCCACCGTTCGGAAAGAACACTGCCAAGCACGAGAGAGACTTTTAGAAACTAGAAATACAGTGTAATACTCGTCCCGCACGCCGCTTCGAATAAATCCGGGTCATTTCGCTGATCGAAAATCATCCATCATCAACGCGGTCACAATTAGCCGGGTAAGCGAGGACATCTTCACTATGGATATTGTTCATCCCCTGGCTCAGGTCACTTTACCTATATTACTTCGTAGTCCAAGAAACCTGGCCGACCATCTCCCGTATTCCTCCCGTCCTTGTATCTCCCGCGCACTCGATGTCTCGACCAGAACTACGGTAGGTAGATGGGGTTTCCAGTCCTCCCCCGCCTGCGCCGTGGTACCGGGTGTCTGGTTGTTGGCCCTCTATCTGCGACGCTGCCCGACTGCCTCGGTATTTTGCCTAGATCTAGATCACCTGGGCCATAAATTGGGCATCGTATTATGATGAACGTGCGTGGTTCTGTCACCTCTTGTCGACCGATATCGTCAAGGGGTAGATGCATTTTCAAAAGACTTGAGGTGCTTGCCAGGCTAAGAACAATGCTTCAAGAAGTAAAAGAAAAAAAAAAGAAGTGCAACCATCATTTCAACAACTTCCTCACTCGCTTCTCCAGAGCCTCTTCAAACTGCGTCACACCATTCTCCAACACCGTCAGCTTACCCGCCCGCAATCTATAAACAACCCGCCTCCTCTTCTGCTCCGCCTCATCCTCCCCATCCGCATCACTACCATCGCCATCCTCCTCATCGATGACATTCTCCACCGCACCCCTCATGAACCACCTGTCGTGACTGACCAGCACGACTGCACCCTCCCAGTAGCGTAGGGCCACTCGTAGCGCCGTGACGGTCTCGTAGTCGAGATGCGTCGTCACCTCGTCGAGAACGAGGCAGTGCGGATGCTTCCAGAGGAGTCTCGAGAGTTGCAGGCGTACAAGTTGGCCACCAGAGAGCTTTGCGACGGGGACGTCGGACGAAATGCGGCCCGGCAGGCCTAGAGAACCTAACAGGCCCCTCACCTGGCCCTCATCCAGCTCGCCTTCAACCTCCTTAGAGAGCAGCGCGAGAGCCGTGAGGGCAGGGTCCTTGCGGCCCATGGCTTGTAGTTCTTCCACGGCATGCTGGGAGTAGTAGCCGAGCTTGAGACGCGGATGCGTGTTTACCGTGCCTTTAGTCGGGTTCGTCTCATTGACAAGTAGCTTGATAAGCGTCGATTTGCCAGCACCGTTGAGCCCCAGGATGCCAATCCTATCGCCCATTCCCACAGAAAGCGTTACCTCCTCCAAGACAAGGGGCTGCTGCTGCGACTTCAGCCTCGACGCACCACCGTACCGAAAGGAAACATTATCCAAGGAAATCAGCGACCCCGGGAACCGCAAATCCGTCGGCTCCGGCAGCACAATCGTAACCCCGCGATCATCCTGCGGCACCTCAATCTCCTCACGCGCCGACGTGAAGTACCCCACCAAGTCCCGATTCACCTTCAACTTCTGGCCCTTCGCGTTGACGCTCATGCCCATGCGGTCGTCGAGACGCTTCTGTCGTGACTTGGCCTGCCGTAGTTTGTTGTCGTCGTCGTTTGCTTTGCCCGCCTTGATATTGTTGGAGATGGACTTTTGCATGTGGGCGCGCTGGCGGTCTTGCGCCTCCTTCATCTTGGTGAGCCAGAGTTTTCGGTCTGTTTGCGCAGCTTCGTAGCTAGGTAGGTCGCCGTGGAAGTAGGTGATTTGTTTTTCCTTGAGAATCATGAGATCTGTGCAAAGAGAGATGAAGTCTCTGTCGTGCGACACCAGGATAAGGGTCGGCGGATCCGCCGTGTCTTGCAGGGATTGGAGATAGCGCTGGAGCCATATGATTCCAAGAAGATCCAGGAAGTTGGTAGGTTCGTCGAGGATGAGAATGTCAGTCTCCTGTAGTAGGGCGGCAGTCAGTGCGGTTCTCATCCGCCAGCCTCCCGAAAGGCTGGCTACGGGTTTGGCCATGTAAGCTTCGGAAAAACCTAAACCGGTCAAAATCCTCTTAGCTTTCGCCTCAATGTCCGAGATTCGAGACGGCTCCACTTGAAGCTGGAGTTCGGCGAGCATATCCACCGCCTCTTGGGTCTCCGCCTGTAGAGCATCGGCCGCGATTTCATCACCGGGCTGCTCCAAACTAAGAGTCTTAAGCGTTAGCGATTTGGATGTTATAGATTTTGCTTGTTCTTCGGGGGTGATATACAGTGCAGCGGACTCCGCCACGGCCTTTTCTCCGGCAATCAGTGCCTTCCTAGCCTGTAAGCCTCGAGCGCCGCTTCTCAGTCGTGCGTCCTTGTCTAGGAGGAACTGCTTCTTCAAGAGGCGTTCGTGCTTCAGTTTCCTCGCAACCCTGACGGGCGCGAATGGGTCTGATGAGTTAACGCCGGCAGACAAAGCTAGAAGGAGCTGCGGCGTCAGCAATCGGTGGCTTTGCTCTCTCAAGTCCCACGAGATAGAGTTAACTACAGACCTCGAATCTCTTGCTCGACCTCGTGCCTCGCCGTAGCCCTCTCGATGACCTCTTCCAAAACCGTCCTTCCAGTGGAGGGCGAGTCAGGCTGCGCGCCAGCTCCCTCCCCGGGCGGCATGTCCGTATTAGCATCGTCCGCCCTGGTCTGCTGCAGGATAGAAATGCGGGTTTTCTCAGGAATACCCGGTATGAGCTTTTCGGCAATCGCCTTTAAGAGCGCTGAATAGATTCATACGAATAAGTTCTCCTCGCATTTCACATTGTTGGGTGCCGAAGGGATCTTCATCTTGACATACTGGACTTTCCGGAGCCATTTCTTCCCAGTAACGCATATCGCTGGCCCGCCTGTAGCTTTAGCTTGGCATCTGAGAGAATCTCGGTGCCCTCGCCCTTGACTTTGGCTTTACCCTTTGCCTTTGTTGCCCCAGCGCTCTTCTCGGCGGACTTGACAGTGATGTTCAAGCCATCGATGTCCAGCTATCAGTGTCATCTCAGCTTCCAAATATGCCCTCCTCGTAAATTTAGTTATCGGAGTCTCAGTGATGCTTACCTCCCGGTAATTTGGGCTTTCGATATGAAAGCGGGTTTGCTTGCAGTTGATGAGAATAGTCGCTGCCGATTCGGATGCCATTGAAGTCATGTCCACGTATATGTTCGAAATAGTAGGGACTATGAGAACCGTTGGGCAGAAGGGCCGGCGAGGATTGATGCTGGGGAGGATGCGTACTAATAAGACTTCGCTGGATCTAGCAAGTGGATTCTCCTGGATTGATGCCACGAAGTTGAACTGTTCAAATGCGCGCCACCCGGAATCGGGGTTTAATGGCAATGTCTCCCCACACACGGCGCCGTCGACTGTTTCTCTTTTTCTTCTTCGTCCTGTTTTCCAACCTCGCTTCGTGTACGAAGTAACAGGGCCGCAGTTTCTTGATGCGTCTTTTAGAGTGCAATTATCGTTTGTCTTCTTTTTCGAGTGATTTTTTCCAAGTTCTATTTTATTTTATTTTATTTTATTTATTTTACTTATCTTTTGCCTCTTCTTTTCTTGTCCCCGTTTTACATCAACTGTTGAGTTACTTGATCCACTCAGCAAGTTCATCAATGTACCCAAAGGAACTCCTTCATCCCTTGGAGATGCCCTGATTTTTGGTGCGATATTTAGGGAAGTTGGAGCATCAAAATGCGCGGCGTGAGTCATTCGGCAAGTCCATAAACCACCTATATTTTGTGTTTGTCCAATAGAGGTAAAAGGGCATGCCCTCTCTGTTCTGTCCGCCAGCGCCACAGGTCTGGGCAACCCGGTCACTTGCAAGTTGAGCAGGCCAAGGTCGTGGTTCACGCAAGGCCTTAACGCCACTAAGTACTCTGGAGATTCATCGTTACGAAGGCTTCTTTGGTTTCGCGGGGGTTGCTCCCTATCTGTTGAGGCAAACGCAGAATGTTTCCCGCGAGGGTATTAAAAGGTGTATTAAGAAATTTCTATTTACATAATTAAAAATTACAGTTTTCGTTTCTTTTTTACGGGGGTGGACCTTCAATCTTTCAGATGAGGAACGCGAGGACGGTCGTTGCGGCCAGAGTGCTGAGGATACCGCCGCCCAGCGTTGTTGCCGCCGCTGTCACGTAACCACCATCTGGGCCGCTGGGACGTTGATTTGTGTTGTTTCCGCGAGGTAGACCGGCGGGATCGGCAGAAAGTGAGCCGGGGCCCGTTGGGGGCCTTGGAGGAGGTGCCGGGCGATCCTGGTTGTTATTTCGAGTGCTGTTACCTCCGTGTCCCCAGCTGCCATTGTCACCGCCACTGCCTCCGGCACCTTCGCCGCCTCCGTTTCCACCACTGGTTTCCGGGACCGGCCTAGGATCCGTGTGAAGAACCCCAGGTCGGACCCATCTACCCCCGCTGTTACCACCATTACCTCCATTACCTCCATTACCCCCACCGCCCCCATTCCCACTGCGCCACCCACTGCCCTCATTGCCTCCATTTCCTCCGTTTCCTCCGTTCCCACCACCCCCACCATTACCTCCCTTGCCTTCATTTCCGTCGAGTTCCCCTTCAGGACCATGGCCACCACAGCTAGGACCAGAGCAAGGAGAACCATCCTCGTGAGACTTTCCACGCCAAGCATTGCACCCCCCAGGGATTCTACAAATCAAGTCACACCCGTCGCCCTCGCAGCGGGTTCCATTGAGGAGCGCACCGGGACTATTGCTGCATCCGTCCCCGAAGCAGTGAGGTTCCCCGGGGCTAATGGGGATGTGATGACTAGTTCCGCCGTCGCCCCCATTTCCACCGTTTCCGCCGCTGCCTCCGTTGCCTCCACTTCCTTCGGTGCTGGGCCTAGGGTAGGGACGCGGACTCGGTTCAGGATGTCCACCCTCAGGATCGAGCTCAGAGGTCGGCCTTGGACCGGGACTGGAAGCGGGCCTGGGCCAGCCGCTGTTACCACCGCCCTCGCCGCCATTCGCGCCAGTCGGGGACCCGGGATGAGAGCCGTCCTCGGGGTGCTCAGGCCCGGGCTCGGGAACACGCGTGGGTTGGGGTTCAGGATGAGGTCCTCGGCTAGGCTCAGGCTTCCCAGCCAATTCATAGACGTCAATGTAGTTCACTTCCCAGTAAGTCTTCTGGAACTCCTCGGGGAACGCGGAGACGAAGTCCGCGCAAGTGAATTCCTCGGTACCGCAACCGTCTTGGAGCCATAGCTGATCGGCGAGGTCACCGCAGAAGTTCTGTATCCAACCTCAAAGTTAGCATCGAGCGGCAGAGCATGAACGAAAGTAAAAAAAAAAAAAAAAAAAAAAAAAAAAAAAAGAGAGAGAGAGAGAGAGAGAGAGAGAGAGAGACTTACAATATTGAGGACGATGCTCATATCCCGGTAGTGCGTATCAACATCGCACTTAGAGCCCCCGAAGACAGAAACGGGAGTAACCCAGCTCGACGGATCCGGTTTCCTGGCAAGAATATCCTCGGGTATCTCACCGCGGGGAAAGTTCCAGATCTTGATGAACTCCTCATCCCACTCCATGGCGTATATGCCGCCGCCTCCGGCGTTGAAACCGTCCCCGTAACTCCGCGGATCATCACTGACGAAGCTGCACCCCGAAAATTGACCCAAGCCGCCGCGGCCGGCGCAGTTTCGGGAAAGTTGGGCGCCGGTGAAGAGGACCTCTTCAGAGGAGGGTGACCAACATCCCTCGGCTCTTGGGGGGGAGGGAAATTAGTCTTGTGTTCTACGAAAGGATGAAACGAGCTTACACTCACGTATGGCTAGTCATGAGGTTAAACTGGTCATTGTTCGCCCCCTCGATGATGTCGATTTCACCGTTGTTGGGCCAGTCGGGTCCATAAACCCAGACTGAAGCACGTTAGTTTTTGTTGTCTATGTCGCTTTTGAAGGATGGGCAACTTACAAGCTGGCCAGACGCCGCACTTTGGCGCAGGCATATGAGCAAAGTCTCCAATGAAGAGTCCATGGTTATACGCTGCCTTGCTCTCCAAACGAATACTAGCTCGGCCCCTTTCTCCAGGAAGCACTGGATTGGCAGGGTCAGCCCTCAGGATGACAGAGCCGGTGTTAGTTATGCCGTAGAGGTTCAGCTTGGTGGCATCTTCTCGCGATTGGTAACTAGTAGAGGTTTAATATCGAAGTGAGCAGGTCCATTCTCTAGCCCCAAGGCCTCTTCAAATAGTGTACCACTTACTCGACGAAGCCGTTGGAAGGGTCAGCGCCGTTAAACCAGTTGAACCCCGACAAGAAGGTCTCCCCGGCATAAGAGGTAACGAGATCGTAGGGCATCTTGACTACCACTCCCCATATGGCCTTAACCTATGTACTCGGGGGAAACGGGGATCTATGTTGCCTTTGGATCTGCACTCCAAAAGGACAAAGAGAATGGAGGGAAAAACGAGAATGGGTTGGTGAATACCAGACACAAGCCGAGACTAATATGATGATTCTAAGCTAAGGTTATATATACGTCTTCTTCCCAGGTCTGGCCCTGCCGAGATGAACCTAAGAAGATGGACACCTCGACGCGAGAAAGTGTCTAACACACTTCAACTAGACCCCTGGCATGTTCTAGGTTTAAAAGGAGGGCGATGGCAGTGAGTTGCCTGTCCCGGGGCCAGCCGGTCGAGACAGGTTCCATACAGGTCAATTAAACAGGGGCGTGCAGCTTAGTTGACGGCACGTCACTTTGTGTGAGACCAATGCCGTATCCAGACCTAGTCGACACCTGTGGCTCTTAGACGACTGGGGGACTAACACAGACGGTCTTGGGCTTATTCAGATCAATATCTGGGGTTGCAGCGCAGAGAATGTACGGAAGCTCGCTCGATTTGTTTCCATGGTCTCAATGTCGAAAAGAAGGGCGTAAAAAAAAAGGACAAAAATAAACGTCTATTGCGCCCTTATAACCCCGTCGGGTTACTTGCGCGCCCGCGAACCACCCTATGGGCGGGGATCTTCTTTGAAGTGCGGGTATTTCTTTACTCGATCCCTGGGCACCTACCGGAAGGTCTTCGTGGTTCGGATCCTGGGTTGTTGCCCTCGTCAGGGTTCGAACCCAGGACCTCGCCGGTGAACCACCAGATCACTTCCTCCGCTGCGTCGTCTGACCACCGGGCCATCGGCTGCTGGTGATAATCCGGACCCTGATTACGATATATAACACATAATCAAAGGTGTTTTGAGGGGCTGCCATGTTGGAGAAAGAGCGGAGGGGTGGAGGTGATGAGGAAGGAGCGACTTGGTGATGGGCGGGTTCTGCTGGGAGGAAAGGTCGGGCTGCGATTGAGGGTACATAAAGCACAGGATTCGTGCTTCTGCTTGACCGATTGAACCGATCGGCTCAGATCCTAACTACCAAGTCAATCTATTACTACCTCCTCGAACTGAGACAGACGTGAGTGAGACCTGAACGACAGAGACACCTGTGCCACTACTAGTTTTTTAGCATTCCACGAAAAGAGGTCATCCCACCGAATAGTAAGACAGACGAGGGTTTTAAGGTAGACTTCCTATAGGTATAGTTCGATTTTGTAGTGCAAGGGCTTCCCATCCTCGAATCATCGAGTGTAGCGGGTTGTAAATTGTACTCTAGACATAAGGAAAAAGCACATATGAACTACCCATCAACGCCAGGAACACCCCTTTCCCCTTCTATGCATTCCCACCGGCCCCCGTCCCACGTCTAGTCGCAGAGAAAAGAAAACAAAAAAAAAAAGACACGGCTGAGAGGTGAAAACAATCACAGTATAATACACAAGGACGCGACACCTACTTTACAGCATGATCCTCCTGAGCCCCTCAGTTCCCCCCAACACGCGCCTCCCGGTAACCGCGCACCTGCCCTTCCCACTCTCCCATTTCCCCTCTCTCTCGACCATGAATTCCTCTTGTTTCGGATGCATCCCCTCTATCCACCGATGGATGCAAGTGTAGCAGTAAATCACACCCGTCTGGCAAGCCGTAGCCGTAACGATGTCGCTCTCGCAGATGGGGCAGAGAGAGGAATCCGACGGCGTAGGGACCGTCAAGATCGGAAGCATCGACGGCGTCGCGATGGGTGCCTTCTCGGGATCGGGGGCCGCCGAGCTGGCTTCCCCCTCCTCTTCTTCTTTGGGGGAGGCGACCGCAGCTTTCTTCCCCTTCTTGTTGTTCGATAGCAATCCGGCGATGATGGGCGGAGGTAGCTCGATGTTCTCCGCCGCTTTGCGGCTCAGCTGCTGCGCAAAGTCCGACGCGTGCCACCATTCTAGGAACTTGAGCGCGAATATGCTAAGAGGCAGTGCAACTGACAGGCCCGATAGAGCCGCGGATCCCATGGCCCGGGGAGACGCCAGGACGGACCTCCAACCGGCTGGCTGACCGGCGCCGAACGTAGCCTTCTTAGAGAGCAAGTCTATGGCTCTGTAATCTGCCACAGTCATGCGGCGCACCCTCGTGCCAATGAGCCACATAAATGGGTTATGGTATTTCGAGTTATCGAATAGGTAGGCGAGGTTGAAAGCCAACACGGAAAAGTAATACGCGGCATTGATGCTCGGGTAGACATTCAACAGAAACCACCTGTAATAATGCACAAACCTCTGCTTCAGCGTCGGGTTTATCGGCATCCTCGTATACGCAACACCCAACAGCGCCCTCGGCGCATTCACCTCGTAGCCCTCATCCAGCTTCCTCCTGAGATACGGAATCCCCACCATAACAGCGAGGTTCTTCCACACGTCGGCCGTCGACAACTTCAACGCATCCTTAACGATATCTGGGGCGGCGATGCTAGCGCGGGGGATCTCGGTCGACAGGCCCTTTTCGCGCTTGAGCCCGTAAAAGTTTTCCGTGAAGCTGCCCCCCCGGGTGCGGAGGTAGTGGCGCTCGACCACCAGCATGCATAGCGCGTACAGCTCGTCGAAGGAGTTGACGGCGCGGAGGAAGTAACGGGGGTAGCGCTGGGCGGCGACGGCGAGGAGGTAGCGGACCGTTGGGGGGAGGAGGGAGGCGAGTTCTTGCTCGGAGAGGAGCTCGAAGAGGGAGGGTTTTTGGTCGTCGAAGGTGCCCTGGAGGGCGGTTACGAACTCCATCTCGGAGGAGAAGGGGAGCGGTGGTTAGAGTGCTGCAGTTCTTTTTGCGGGTGGTAGATGACGGGAGGATGTCATGAATAGGGAGTTGGGTATTTCGTGTTAGGCTGCGCAGCTCATCGTGGGGAGCGAGTGGAGGGTTTTTCGGACGATAGGGGCAAATACTTGTCGTAGGAAGTCAAGTCTTGGGAGGTTCGCGTTTGTCTGTCTTTTTTTTCGGTAGAACTCAATTAATTGGGCCGACGTCAGATGCGAAGAAGCTTGTCAAAATTCAATGATGCGCCCCAGAAGCTACGCTCCAAGTCGCTACACAAGATTCACTTCCAAGCCGAGCCGATAATGACGCACGGATCAACGCGTGCTTTGCACGACTGCATTTGTACCGAGGCACAGCAACGCCAGACCTGGCAGCTCGGCTCGGGACCCCGCGTTGGCTTTAGGGAGGTTATCGCCTTAATGGGTTATCTCAACGGCTTTCCCCAGATTTTCTGGGAGCCTGGAACAGCTCCTGCGGAGATTGGGGTACTTCTGTATGTTGCCATTGAGATCTGCGATTGATAGAGACTGAGGCTCGGTACTACTATCTCGGATAAAGAAACGCGACCCTTCGGGAAACTGGTTATTTCGCAATTTGGGGCCCTTAGGAAACCCTTTAAGAAAATTCAAGGTATAGTTGACATCTCCATCTCCAGTTCTTCCTTTCTACTGAGTCTAACACCGTTCAAGCAATTCCATCCAGTGCCAAGACCGGTGGTTCTGACTCCTGCCCCCTTGAATCTGACTGTACTCCGTAATCGGGGTCATCGCAAACTGGAATAGTCTTCCCACAGGTATATAGACATCCGCGATTGAGATCCATACGAAGTAGTATCAAGCCAGCAACACTCACCTCACCAACGACCGAGCAGCCCAAACAACATCTTTGAAATGTCTGGCGAACAGAGTCCCCACATCGACATCCTCGACGATGGAGAGGCACAGATAATAGCAACACTCACCCCCCGGGATCCCACCGCGGACCAAGACAACCCCTTTGCCAATGTAAGCATATCTAAATCTCACCCGGTTGGGGAGTCACCCACCCATCCATCCAAAAAGAAGAGAGAAGAAAGAACAGAAGAAGAAAAATGGCTAACATCAAAAGGACTGGACGACCGACCTCCTTCCCCACATAACCTACCTCTCCTCCTCCCTCCACCCAACACCAACCTCCACCTTCCTCTACACCGTCCAACCCAGCCACTGTAACGGCCTCCGCAACCTCCACGGCGGCTGCACCGCCTCCCTTTTTGACCTCCTCACTACCATGCCAATCCACCTCGTTAAGAACCCGCCCACCTGGCGCATCCCGGGCGTCTCCCGCACCCTCAACGTCACCTACCTCCGCCCCGTGCCGTCCGGCACCACGGTCAGGATCGTCTGCGAGGTCGTCCACGTCGGGAGGAGGATGGCTACTGTTAAGGGGACGATGATGAGGGAGAGCGATGGGGCTGTTTTGGCGATTTGTGAGCATGGGAAGGCGAGTATTGATCCGGGGGCGAGCAGCAAGGCGTAGCCGCGGGCACGTGTAAGTGTGGATGGAGTTCAATGAGGTTTGCGTTCTTGCAAATCTGTTTCACGGGGGGATGATGGAAGTTGCTTCAAGCTTTTTTAGACATGGCCGGGTCTCTCTTAAGTGTTGGTTAGAGAGCCGCGGATGCAAAATCGTATTCCGGCATTAGACCTCAGTCTTTAGACATAGCTATTAGACCAATGGTGCTCGTCCGCCCTCATCATAGAGCGTCAGCAAACAAAGACTTTTCAATATTAAAATCTGATATCCATCATGAGACCGCTGAGGGTAAGTCAAACTCGGGCCATATATACCCATCCCATATTTCCCCCTCAAAATCAAAAACTTTTTTGGCCATTAAATAGTCGTCGTGTGATATGAAATAAGAAAAACGACACTTAGAGAATAAAGAAGAGACGACCGAAAAAAAAGAAAATAGTCATATCCCGTTAAACCGATTTCAACGCATGTTTCGCGTGACCCAAGAATCCCAAATTCGCTCGAAAACCTACATCTCAATCACCTGATTTTTTTTTCTCGTTGGCTTTTTTGTTTCCTTTTTTTCTTTTTTTTTCTGCCTCGCGGCATGAAAATGATTTTTTCTATCCCGTAACCGGGCGGAAGGCTCGGTCAAAGACGTTCGCCAACACCTTGGGGAAGACGTCCTTGGCCTCGACATCCCAGACGTCTCGATCCGAGAGCTTCCAGAATGCCAGCGGGCCGACCGGACCACGTGCGTCATAATCTCTATACGTACGACAGATGTTAGCATGACAAGATGCAGGCCGAGGTGGGGATCATGAATCATAGGTGTAGAACACGGAGGTTCGGAAGGTGGCGCGGGGGAAAGAAAAAAGAAAAAAACGGAGGCAGTGACGTACGCAGAGAACCAATTTCCAACGACCGGACCCGCCGCTCGGACGCCGCCAATCTGGACGCATTCGGTCTTCCATCTGGGGTTGCTGTTGAAGGTGGAGACGGTCGTCCAGCGAGCCTCGCCCTCCTTTGTGAGTCGGCAAGTTCCTGTGTAAGAGAAAGAAGAATTAATATCATAAAATCCACTGTGTTTAACGCGGAGGGGCAACACGAACCTTGAATATCCGAGGAAATATCCGGGTCATTCGGGTGGTAGAGATGCCTCGCGAACCCAGTAAAGTGCACGACTGGCAGATCGGGTGAGTCATCTGGGCCAGGCTCTTCCATGGCCGTGACCTTTAGGCTCATAACCATGTGTGAAACGCCTTGGTCGTAGAAGAGGGACTTGAGGTTGCTCCTGAGAGTTTCCGGCCTCCTCGTGAAGTTGTACATTTGGAGATCGCCCCAATTGAGGAAGCAAATCAGCTGCGCGGTGGGGCAAATCGTGTTAGTGTCCATGCAACAGTGAAGCGATGTGTGGTGCAGGTGTTCATCGTGCTGTGCGAATGAAGCGAGTGCCAAGGCCGGCACAGTAAGAATAATACGAGCGAAGAAGGGGGAGATGGGTGCCGTGGATAGAAGCGAAAAGGGTAAAAAAGAAAAAAAAAAAAATAACAAAAGAACCCTCTCAAGACTCACCCTCATCCAAGTGCCCGAGATCCCGTACGGATCTGTGGGGTCCAACGGTTCTAGCTCTTTCCTCGGATGGGGACTGGCGTAGCTCTGCGCGTATGCGCCGGCGAACGGCTCACGCCATGGCATGGTCCACAGGCTGGCCTTGTCCCTCGACGTCTTGACGGCCATGACGACCATGGACGCCTCGACCTTTTCCCAGTCGACCTCACCGCTGCCGTCGTCCTTGAACGGACCCCAGAAAGACTCGGCCGTGTAGTGTCTTAGGTTATACACCTTGGCGCAGGCAAAGTCGTACGGTTCACCGAGGGAAGCCACAGCAGGCACGATGGGCTTCTCGGCGGGCTTGCCGTAGTGGCAATGCAATTTAGCGCTGAGCTGGATGAGTGGGTCGTTTGACGACCCTCGACTGCGCTGGCCAATTGACGTGCCATGGTAGAGTGACGAACGGCACATGTACTTGCGGAGGATGTTTTGGTCCTTGAACAACGAGGAGAGGAAGTCGACGTTATAGGACGGCAGGTGGGTGGGAAGTTGTCGGGGTGCTTGGCCTCCAGGCCGAGGCGTGGCATCTTTGAGGAGCTTAAGGATCGTGGAGCAGACCAGCACATGGTCTTCGTCCTGCGATTGTTGCACATGTGCGTGTTAGCGAAACCAGTGCGAGGTTCCAGGTTGGGTCAGGGAGAGCCAAGGAACTAAGCTGCCCGCCAATTCAACTGGCAACGAAGCGAAGGATTGGGAGAGAAGGGAATGGAATGCGCCAAAGTTTGGATCTCGTTTTCCCTTACCTTCTTGGTGTATTTCTTGCTGCAGATACTCTTTAATCGGGCAATATCTCGGATTTCCTGCATCCAGTTGACATTTCGGCGTTGAGGTGCATCCTAGAACCATTGAGGACAGTGTAAGTTACCAGAACGAGTCAACAGCTTTGCTCTGACGGACCAATGGCCCAGCAAGCTTCGGCCATCACCCACACCCACACCCACATCCACATTGACGTAGTGGCAAGCTGCGTGATGGTCTTAGCAATAGACATTGGGGGAAAACTCACGAGAAATGTCAGAAACACATCGCGATATAATGATCCGTGGGTGCTGACGATGCCGTAGAATCGACGGCATACGCGTAGCAAGAGACCTAGGTCAGATGGCGACAGCCAACCAAAGATCTCGAGCAGGACAGCTGTGGGGAGCTCCTCGAGGGACACCATTGTTGTTAAAGGCGGCAGTTCCTGCAGGGTGTAGGCTTTCAAAGTTGAACCTTGGAATTGGGCTCCAGGAGCATATTATACCGGGAGCTCTTCCTTCTTATATATGAGAAACAGAAGAGGCAATGATATATATAGAAAATAAAAAATAAAAAGAAAAGACGATAGCTTCAATGTCCGAGACAAAGGGGTACCAACTACCCCCAGCTACTCCTGGTGGCGGCGTCTTATATAACCTAAAGACTTTTGCAAAATGGGTCGGGCAAGGTCACCGGTTGCAAAACTGTCATAAAAAAGAAGGTACCCGTAGCGGTTCAAGGTTTCCCTATGGGGAAACCAGAGGTCAGAGGCATGTGGTCGGATTCGACGGTTCGACGAGTCGAGGCGTGTGTCAAGAACTTCAACTATCCTCATACGAGAGTTTGTAACTGTGCCTGTCCACGTAGACTAGACCTCTCCAGGTCACAACCTGATTTGTTGAGGATACACTTTGAACCTTGAACCGGCAGCTCACGTTCACACCCCCTCCAGTCCTCGTGTCGCGATCTATGGGTTCCTAGAGTACGTACATAGATCAAAGAATGTATCTTTTTTTGGAATTTCAAGGGGAAAGGGGCCGTGTAAAGCCATTCAATGTCTTCAATTGAATGTACGAAGTAAAACCGTACATGCGGTGGCGTGGTAAAGTGACTGGACTAGGCTGGGTCCAGTGATCACCTGTGCTGCAAGGTCGGAACAGCATTGGGGCGGACCGAGCTGTAGGAGCTGACCATCCAAGCCCTCCCCCGGACAAATTGGACAGCCAAGAGCTCCAAGCTGTTACTCATAGAAATCCATTGAGTGGACGCTTGTTAATTTAGCAGGTTGTCAATAGTTACTGTAAGTTACATCTCGCCTGGCCTGGAGCAGCGTTTTGCATCATTTAGGCCATGTCTAGCCGCTGTCCGCCCCGCATTAAAAGTGTCATGTGGAAGGAGATCGTGGTCCATCGCTGTCTTTGCGGCGTACTCCTTCCTGGCTCCCCGGTGGGACTCGGTACCCACCGCATCGCCCTGGAAGTGCCTGATGAGATCGGTACAGGCTACTTTCAGATGTTCGATCTGCACTGCCCTGCTTCGTACTTCTCGCTGACACATTTTGATCAGATCAACCGTCCAGTCAATCCTAATAATACGACCTCTGTTGTCAAGTGCAACTGCCTCATGCGCTCTCCTATGTAGGCCCTAGCTGACGAATGTTAGTGCGAAGTACAGTAGTGCCAAAGTCAGGTACTCACCGCTGGTGCAGTGCGCTATGAAGTACCGGACTGGACGCCAAACGAACGGAGCCCTGAACTTGGTATTCAAGGTTCTCTCCGTCGCTGGTCCAGGCTCTAACCTTTTGGCCTTCGGCAACTGGGTGCGGGGCACGGAGTACCGATAGGGGTACCTCCACTTCTCTCTCCTTTGCATGCCTCGGTGACCAAGGATCCCTGCCAAAACTGTAGTGGCTAAATGTACCTGTTTACCGGTGCTCACTAGGTGAACAGCGTACTTTATTTCGTACTTTTCCCCCGCATTTCGTCATGAAGCACCTGAGTTGGTTTATTTACCGTCATTGAAAATCTTCAGGCTCGGGTTCAATGTTCTTTTCCAATTCACAACAAAAAACCTGTCAATTTCTAATTGGAACCGGTCTCGATCCACTCGAATCCTTTTGGGAGAAAAGGAAAAAAGGGAAAAAGGGGGGAAAAAAAAGAAAAAATTGAAGCATTGAAACAATGTTCACGTAAAAGAAACCCAAAAATATGCATCCAGGGTCAAAGGTGCATTGCCAATAAAGCACGTCAAAAACATCATCCATCCATCAATCGTCTCTCCAGTCACGTTGTCCCCATCCATTGCTTCGTCCCCATGTCAATCATGCGGATGTCCCGTTTCACCGCCTGGGAGGAGGAAAAGCAAAACGAAAAAAAAAATTGTTTTAGCACGCGGCGAAACCTCCGAGGAGGGCGGAGACCAAAAAAGGGGGGGTTACCGGTAAACTGGGTCCCCATACAATAATCCCTTCCGTCCTCCGTTACTTCCGTCTATGTACCCATCTCCTGATGTACGTAAACTACCGTCCGTAAAGCCGGTGCTTTCCCAGACGTCGTTGTTGAGCTCCAGCCCCGAGTCTAGACTCGCCACCGATTGATTATAAACTAAAACTAGATCATATCAATCTATGCTTCTGGTCATGGTAGGCAGTAAATAGCAGAGCTCTGAGGCCTTCTATGTCGTATTCTAGAACGCAGGAAGGAGTCCGATCTGTCAAACCCCGCAAAATTCACAAGAATAATCTAGAACATTGAACGCTCGGCATGAGCCGGCCTACACTACTCTCACCGCGAACGAAATCCTTCTGTAGATGTCAAGCCTTAAACAGTCACGGCCGCCAAGCTGGAGTTGGGGAACTCGGCAAGTCTCCTTTTACCAACATGAGAAAATATCCATTCATATTGTGCGAGGTGAGGGGACTTGTCGATCGTATCGTCGGTACATTGATCCATGTATACATGTATAACTTGGGATATCGTCTGGAATTCGCTATGCTCAACCTACAAAAGGATGAAAAATAGAAACGAGGGAGACCACGAGGACCTGGGCAGGCCGCGGTTCTCCCAGAACCAAAAAAAAAAAAAGAAGAAGAAAAGAAGGGAAAAAAAAAAAAAAAATACCAGACGAAGGATTCACTCCCGCCACCGTCCATCGGATCCAACATCGTCGCCCCCGAAAGGATTTTCCCTCTCTTTTTTCCCATTCGTCTTCCCACCCTCGGGTATCTTGGCATAAAGCAACAAAATCAGAAAAGGAAAAAAAAAAAGGAAAGGAGAGCCATGTACGATGTATATACATGTAGATGCATTTATTTGAGTAGTGTGTAGTGCAGGGAAAGTATAAGGAACCACCTCCCTCCGAAAAAAAAAGGCGCCTTTCTGGCATAAAAAACGAGAACAAAACAAGTAGATTGCCGCCTTGCCCATATCCATGCCCGGTTCTAAAGTTCCCAAGTCCCGGTCCCATTTCCTTTGCACTCGACCCTTCGATGAAATTCCTACAACAGGTAAAGCGTGACCCTGAGATTACAAGGACATAAAGGAATGCCGAAAACAAAAGCAAAAACTGCCGGCCGCGTAAATATAAACGGTGTGGGGGATAAAAAATTGTTGAAATGAGAGAGAAATGACCGGGGATATCAAAACATGAAGAAAAGGAAAACCGCCTCGCAAAAATGGTTCATGTGTGCCCTCCTTCCGTCCCTTTGTCGCATGCATGCTTGAGAAGAGTCTCGAAAAACTACCACCCATCCACCCAAGATAATCAGCTCTGCCACCCTTTCCCAATTTTTTTTTTAACTCGACACAAAGTTGTGTAGTCATGCTGTCAGCGCTATCCTCCCACCGCGGATATATATATATATGATCAGACAACCACCAAAAGGAATTTTCGCCACGAGCTCCTTTTTTATTTAATCGCACAACCGCCGACACACCCTCAATGGGGTGGGGGAATCCTTTCTCCATCCAGGAAACGGAGGTAAATGGGAGGGGGGAAATGTGGATATAAGGACCAAAAGAAAACGACCACGTGCTCTCGTACATCTCATAGTAGATTATTAGGTCTTCGCCTCACGGAACTGATCTGCCTGCGTTGAGATTGATGCAGTTATTGAGGAGGTTCGCTCCTTCGTGGAGCAGCTCCCACCTCGTCCCTTGAAAGGTATCCTTGAGCATCATCAACAACCCCGTGTTATGGTTGATGCCCTTGGCCATCCTAAGATCGTCGGGTGACTGGATGCCCCCGAACTTGAGCAGGTATTCTTGCGTGAGTCGCAGCTTCTCTGCCCGACTGCTGGGCTGAGGCGCCGTCGGGCACGCACCTTCCGTGGCGAACCCGTAGCACCATACAACTAATGCAGCAAAGTATAGGACCCACGGCCGATCCAGTAAAACGTCGTCTCTCGCCGAATAAGGTTCCGGACCATGCGGGCTGCCACCAATGGCTTCCGGCATGAGAACTGAACAGAGGAACTTAAGCGCATAGAACATGGCGTCTCTTGCCTTGGCCGACGGCGCCCAAAGCTCCTTCATTCTCCTCTGGGCGCTATTGAGGTCCTGCGGACCAATTGTCCGTCCGAGGAGGCGTTTGGCTCTGGCGAAAATCTGGCAATCGATAACGTCCACGTGCATCGCCATGTGTGCTAGGTGGTGTAAAACAACCCTATTCTCGTTCGCGACGCTGTCGTCTCGCCTACCTATTTCGTACCGGTAAGGGTCGTTGAGGTTATCGTCCAGCCGGAGCGCCTTGTCATAGTCGTTCTTCCAGCTGTCAAAGGCCCTGTTCAGCGTTCCCCTCCATTTGTCACGACCACCAAGCGCTTGCGATACACCGCCTCCCAGTACGTTCACTTGGAGGTCCCGCTGGTTCATATGCCACGTCACACTCAGTAACCCGGCCATGAGAACAGTACGTCCAAACGAGTTTGTCCTCACTTCCTCGCCGCTGAGCGTACGTTTCAGTCCCTCAAGGAACGATATTGGTTTTATGTTGTTGGATAGTAAATTATTCTCGATCCGGCCCACCTCGGCGCTGCTCGTTGCTTTCCAAAGCCCCTCGTCGCATGGAAGCGGTAGCCTCATCTCATGCGCCACCATCACCGTGGAATGACCGAACATTGTCGCATGGATCGAGTCGATGACAAAGGCCGCAAATGCCGCCCGCCGAGTTGCCTCATTGGTGATCCAGTGGTTCCACCATTCATTCGGAGTGGCCACCCCTGACGCTGACGATTGACGAGATCCGTTTGTCCCTCCCCCGGACCTCTGATCCACCGGGTTGGGCGGAGAATCGAGAGCGGACTTCCCGATAAGTGAGCGCCCACGACGCATTAGTGTGATAGTAGTTGCATGATGGATATGCGCTCGCTCGTGCAGTTCGCGCGTCGAATACATTTTCTCGTAAACCTCGAGCAACAACAGCGACTGGAAGACCCAAAGTTTGGCTGGCGGCCTAAAGTTGGGATCCATGAAAATCTCCCATCTGATATGCCAGGCAAGGAAGTTCGACAGCTTAGACCCCGCCTGCGTAACTTCGGTTCCGTGCGTCTTATCGAGGCAAGCCGCTCCGATCGTCATCATCGATATAAGCAAGAGATTAGGTGTCCTATCGGGAGAGAAAGTCGGCTTGTGAAGAATGGGAATTTGGTCGCTGAAATGAAGCCAGTAGGATCCGATGTAGGCTTGCATCATCCGCTTGCTCAGCATATGGTCGTCCTGCATTCGGTCGCCTTCGAGGATGCTGTCGCGTTGTCTCTCCACTGGTGCACGACCATTCTCATTGAACCGGTCCCTGATGAACTCGTATATTTCGTTGCTCTTCTCATCAGAAATCGTTGCCTCAGGTAGGTTCTGATCCAGGATGCTTGAGACTGCCATGACCTGTTGGGAGGCGGCCGGGAAATAACCCATAGACGCCCATTGGGGGCCCAGATATGCGATGCTCCCGTAATTGGGCGTATTCTCAAAGTAGCTGGTATTAAGCGTCAGCAGGGAAGATAGGTATGGCAAGTTACTATATGGAAAAGGGAAGAAAAAAGACAGGCAGAAAGAATCAAAGCAAAGGAGTGAGCTCATGATGATAACCTACCTTTGAGCGTACCCTCCTCCCATTTGGTTGAAGGCTGGGTTGGGTTCCGTCTGGTGATTCAAGAGATATGCGAGAATGTCGTCGGGGAGGAAATGAGGGGATTTGTTCTCGATGCTATCATTTCCGAACACGGGAAGCGCTTGGGTGGCAGACATCGAGTCTAGCATCATCAGCTCGGCCGGCTGCTGCCCGTTCTCAGTATACTCAGCAGATGTGGCGGGTGGGTATTGTTGCTCTTGTTCTCGAGCGGCGTTATCGGCAAAGTTGGAGGGTGGGAGTTTGAAAGGAGGGAAGTTTTGCTGGGGAACGTAGGCAACCGATTGCGGGGTTGTAGTTTGTTGGCTATGGAAGCCGTGCTGTGTAGACACCGGAGAGAGAACGCCATACGAGTTAACGTTGGTCTGCACGGTTGGCCGAGGAGTGTTTCCGGCATGGAATGAAGAGCGCCGCGAAGTGGGGGCGCCGTATCCTCCATCCTGGGGAATGTAGGTATCAACACCGTTAGCGAACACGGCGGGAGGTGTGTGCGCAACGGGGCTGTAGGGACTCGCGATGTGATCCTTCGGAGACTGGTAGGGGAGAGGTGCGGTCCGTATAGCCGTAGGGAAGCCGGGGCCGGGCCGGCTCACTTCGGGAGAAGCAGAACCCGCGGGTCCATACTGGGGCCCACGATCTGCGGCAGGCGAGGAGCGCGCAATGGAGTCTTTCCGATTCAGTGAAGAACCCTTGGCTGTGTGGCGATCCTTGTGGCGGTTACACAGGTCAAGCCTAACAAAGGTTCGTTTACAATCCGGATAGTCGCAATGATAGATCTGCTTCGGATTATGGTTCAGTTGGTGTCGATACCTAAGATTAAGGTTAGTTCATGCCGTATTTACGCTAGAGCTTAGTTCCGCCCGAGGCCCGGGGAAGCTCGCCCGAAAAATGCGAATTGGTGCGGGAAGGGGACCAAAGTTAAAATTCCTTACAAATGCTCAGCCCTCGAATAGCTCTTTCCGCAACCCTCATGAGGACATTCGAATTTTTTATCCAGACCTTTACGACTCCGCCGTCGCTTCCGTGTCGGCCCATCAGAATTCGAAGAGTGGGCTTGGTTTCCTTCGCCGTCGGCACCCTGTTCTTCACTCTCATTCTCCACGGACCTACTACGCCGGCGACCCCTCTCGCCGTCGTAGCCTGGCTTCAGCTCGGGTGGTGATGTCGTTTGCCGGTCTTGAGGCGCCATTATCGACGAGCTCGCAGGCGAAACTGGGAGTACGTGTTTGACATCATCGGTTGGGTGACCAGTGACTACTGTGGCCATGGCCCGCAGGTTGGATCCCAGACACTACCGTTGCTGAATGTACGAGATGGGCCACAGGAAAATGCGAGGAAAAAAGGTAGGGGAAATACCCGGCGCCAGAGGGGGATCGTTTTAAGAGGCGAGCTGCACTCGAAGGGCAAAGAAGCTCGGCGGGCACTAATCGCTCGGTCGACGGTCGGTTCAACTGTTGTTGCACAGAACAGCACGGCACAGCACACGTACAAATGGAGGCGAGCCGGTGATAATTAGAAGCACGGAGCGGATGTGTCCAAGAGTAAGATTTAGCGGGTTTTCAGTTGGGGCGCATCGAACGCCGTTTTCGCAGGGCGGAGGGGAATGGCACAGGCGTCTGGGCGGTGGCTCGTATCGTGGGGGGAAAAAAAAGCCGGGAGGATGCCTGCTCGGCAGCTATTCACAAGGGTAAAGACAGTAATGAAAAGCCCAGATCGCGATTCGCATCATAAATTGGGTTAATTTTCCAGACCAGTAAATGGCACGTTGGGCTAGATCATGACGGCGCGGGGGAAGCACGGTGGACAAGTTCGACAGGAACTCGGGATCTGGCGTTGGAGGTTGGTCACTTGGTCGCCTCTTAGGAGGGGAAGAGGAGGCGTGAGACGATGCGAATACAACGACGTGTAAGGTGGCGCTGGATCCGGCGTGGCGTCCGTAGTGGGATGCGTTGGTTCGTTATTAAAAGTAGATTGACCAGCTGGTGCGGGCTCTGAAAATTTTCCCTCGGCTCTATGCTGTCCCAGTCGTCCGAGACCGTTAAGATGTTGCAGGATGAGAGGAGGAGAGGAGGAGAGAATGAGAGAAAGAGACAGATTTGTTGCCAGTGGTTTTGCGCAGGACATGGAAAGCGCGAGGGGCGGCGAGGAGCGGAGGAGGGAAGGAAAGAATTTGGAAGCAGTATAAAAATTGGCAGGAGCGTGTTTCCAGCAAGGATAATCGGATGGGGCAACTTGGGTCAAGGTCCAGAAAGAGAATAATCAATAATACTCGGTAGCGAGCAAAGCAGCAAAGTAGCTTGACGCCGTCCCCTGTCACGGACGAGTAGCGGGTGTAGAAGGGTCATACCAGACCAACTTTGATCAGACCTGCCCAGCCAGCCAGGCAATTGCTCTTTTTACCAGATTCACAGCCAGTTAGTTATTATGGGCCTCCACAGGTACCGCAGAAACGTAACAGCGACAGTACTTTGGACTTGGTAATGCTCCAAAATACAGCTAAGAGTGGGACTCTCACTCAAGACAACGGAGCATCAATATAATAATAGGTACACTATCTGTGTACACTGCTGGAAATACTGAGTACGACGTCTAACGAAGTACAGGGAAGCTGGAATCCCCGCCCGGTGCGGTAAATTGGGACGGGCCTGGTGCATAAAGGTGAGAGAGCAAGAGGGGTCCTCCAAGTACCTTGACACTGCAATTGTAGTGTACTTGTCGAATGGGGTGTGGGCTCCGTTTGTGTGAGTGTTCCGCCCTGTAACTAACCCCAGCAGGAAGCGTCGTTGGGGCCGAACAGGGAGAAGATCAAATGGATTTGATCGTTCAGGTCCACCGTAATGGCGCAGATTTGAGTGGCCGGGGTATCGACATTGAACCACGGGGTTGAGAAACTTGACACCCCCGCCAGCCTCCAGGTCGGTGGTATGCATGCAGCATAGTGCGAAGAACCGGAGACGCCCATGCCCATCTTGAGGTTGTACAAGTCATCAACCCTGCCTTCCGAAGCAGTGTACGAGGGAATATGCCACAGTTTGTCGTGGAATGGTAATGATCACAGAAATCAATTGGGGATTCAATAACAGAGCAGGCTGCTTCATCAACTCTCCGCTTTGTAGATAGCCCGGAGCTTCCCAAACAGCCTAGACAGCCCCGCCTTGAGGTGGAGGCTGCAGATTGTGCGGATATTTGACATTGTAAACTAGCAATGAAAGAGAAACACAAATGGATCCATCACTGATGATGTAGGGTCTCCTAAAACCGAGTCTTAATGCGTGGATAGAGCCTCCGAATACGCCAGCCTTCTCAACGAAGAACCTAAGTATTAGTCCGAGCCTCTATTTTGTTGCCGTTGTGCTGTTCACTCCCGGGCAAGAATCCCGGCTCCAACTTCATCTGTCGTATCAAGAACGGGAAAGAGCAGGCCTGTGCTGAAGACGAAGACAGAAGCAGTGTGGCTCGCTCTAGGGTCAAGACAACTCTCCTGGCACATATTTTTTTTCTCTTCTTTTTCCCAAACCCCAGCGCTCCCAGTCTCCTACCGAAAGGGGAGGGGATGCACGGGACCTTCGGGGGTCCCGAGGCGATTAGTCGCCGATTGTGGCACTGAGACAAAGGCTTGAGGTGATTGTCTGGAGAAGGACAAGGACGAGCCCCAGATTTCCGAGAAGATGGCTGATAGTGTCTCCCGTTCGTACAGGGAGGGTACAAAATACAGTGTTTTTATTACTTTTTCTTTCCCAAGGATAGCAGTTGACGATTGTCCTACCCCCGACGCAGCTCGATCAATTGATTACAATGAGAACAATGGCGGACAAGGGCCCCCTCGCGCACCACGTATTCTCCACAGACTTCGGCTAATACATGCCTACGAAGGAGGGTCGAATGTCGCAGAAGGAGCTGCCGCATGCGATGCGCAGGATGCAGCGTGCAGTTTGTCCCTGGATGAGTATGTGTATGTGCGGACGGCTCAAACTTACCTTCCCAGCGATCAGCGACCAGAAAAAGAGACGGGGCCTCATCAGAGTGGGTTGGGATTAGCTTCGACGAGTCCACCATTGGCCCATTCCCTCGGTCTTGTTTCTGCAACAGGACCGTTTTGGTCAAAAAAATAATGTCCTGCCACCAAACTGGACAAGTACTCAAACACGACAAAGCAGGAAGAAGTGTACTTCGTACTTCGTACACAACACCAGAGGTGAAGCAGCAGGGTTAAAAAAAAAAAAAAAATTCAAGGATCGACAGAATCTTACGCTGCGTGATTTTCTCCAAGGCGAACAAGATGTTTTTCTTGTTATTCTCCCCTTGCGTTTGCCTCCAGTGTGAGCCGCCCGAATGAGGACAAACCTCCCACCTTTTATAAATAAATATAAGAACGGAGTATGTCCTTTCAAGGGTTTGGGTACTCATTTCTGGAAGATTGAACTATGTACTTCGTCCATGTGTGACCGTGTGTAGTATCCGTACTTGACAGAAGAAAAAGGGCAAAATAAAAAGTGCGGCTAAATTCCGAATTGGTAAAAAACGGAGATGAGACATTACGTTGGCCACTTCATGGGAGCCATGGTCCGCCTCCATGACAACCCCATAACGGTATTCTGCAGGGGGCTAAAGCCGAGAATCGTGGGGACACCGATCTATGGGGAAGTACGAAGCATAGCATGCGCACATCATTACGGAGTGGAAAGAACGGAGAGGTTACTCCGTAAATAAGCTGTTGTGGTACGAGAAACATTTTGACTCCGACCAGGACAAGGCTTCCTTTCGGGGGCCACAGAATGACGGGGGAAGCCCAACGGGAATCTTACCATATCGAGCAGAAGCAACAAGAACCTGGGGAAAATAGTGCCCGCTACGTGGGTCATGGGGGCGCCAGATGAAGTACGAGGTACGAATTCTTAGGCAGGTATGTACGAAATAGTCGTCGTACTGATCGCAGGATTATTTCGTAGTAGTCTGTTGGAGAGAACGTGGGAAGGGTGGGGGACGAGAGTATCCGGGCTAAGGAAAATCCCGCCTAGGATCTCCCCATGTCCCTCCATTTTCATACGATGACCCACCGTTAATATTGAGTAGACCTACGAAAACGTCCTGTTACGCCGGCACGCAGTGACAAGGTCGACGAACATTGCAACGCACCGGGTTCCCGCTTTTATGACCAGTAACTATTTTGGTGGCGTCGTCACAATTTGCCAGTTCACGACTTTGCAGTTTACGAAGTGCAGGCTAATGTCCAGCGTAAACCGATGAGACCCATACGGAGTAGGTGGTCCACCAGACACAATTTCTCTTTCATTGAATTTTTTTCTTCTCCCTTCCTATTCCTTTGCGGCTGGAGTGGAGCGGTGCCGGGCAAAGCCTGCAGACTGGAAGAGGTGTGATGTGCAGCACACTGAACCAGATGTTACCCACATCTCGACAAGGAGGGGGGAAAGGTTGGGTGAAATTAGCTGGATCATTGGTCCGCTGGATGCAGCCCCATGCTCGCACGGGAGGTGAGTGTGTGGGTCCATGCTCCGTTCACATACCCCGGAAACGCTGGAGGTCTCCGGCCCGTACGAAAGTGAGTTTACGAAGGAAGAAGAGGCAAGAACGAGCCCGCCAAGGGAGTGTCAAGAGATTCACCAAGACTGTGTTGCTTTCTCGTTGAGTTCGCTCGCAGGGGTGCCAGGGAGTAAACCTGAGTTCCTGGGGAAAACACGCGCGGGGGGGGATAACGTTGGGCAGGCGATTTGATGCCTTCTAGGGTCGATCGACATAAGCTACCTTAATTGTTTACGTTTAGTAAAGTGACACGGTGGAGATGGGAAGGCTAGAATACGCATATTCTTGTCTATGACGAACAGTAAACTGCAAAGTAATAATATTCCCCTTCAATTTCATTTTGGGGGTTCCCACATCACTAGGGTTCGGTGGGATGCATGAAGCTAGTTGGTTCCGGATTCGGTCTCGCCTGCGCCTAGCAGTCCTGCTAGCCGGGCGTAGCGTCGTGTAAGCTCATCTTGATGGCCAGTTCTGCCATGTCACGATGGAGCATCGGTCTTGACCAGCTTATTTTAGCTCGAGCTTGAAGTAATCGACAAAGAATACACTAGCCATTACTCCTGTAAGCGTAGTGTACTACTGACGTCTACGCGGTTTCCTTCGTACTTCGTAGGGCTAGCCGTTCGGAGTCGGCGGGCGAGGGTGCCTCGCATCGCGAACGTGACGTCCGGTCCAACCACGCCTCGCGAGCCTCATGCTCACCGCTTTGTAAACTAAGTACTCTGC